CAACGTTGGAGTTTGGTAGACCTATGATCGATGTTATATAATGCTATTTGTACTTATGGGAAGTTTTTTCTTACCGTTAAAACAGAGTTGGAATGTGTTGTTGCTAGTGCAGGCAACGCCATTGCTATTACAAACAAAACAAGCTGCCTCGATCTCAGGTAGCGCCACTAAGCAAAATGACACAAATAAGCAAATTTTTATCAACATCTTCGGAGCTCCTAATCTACCGCGTTAAAATGTTTCACTAAATGCTCGCACTTGGAAGCTACTGCTTTATGTTTGATATAAAGCGTTAACCTCTTCACAGCCATGAGGCGCTATGGCACATACAAATTTATATCTAATTGTCAATTTGTCACTGTTGAGGTGATTTTAGGCCAAGCTAGTCCCCCAGTTTATGGTGTGGGTCTTGTAGTTTAACCAATAAATGGTGAAATCTTCAGTCTATTCTAAATCGCCTCCGAAGGGCCGATGGATTTTTTTATGAGGAGCTTCATTTGATGTCAGAAATACACTCGCAGGGGTGGACATTCCCTGCCAATGGGCGACCGCAATTAGAAAAATGAATTTGCTATCATTTTAGTTAATTGGTCAGAACCTGACCATCCGGTTAACCACTCTGCTACTGCGGGCGCCAAATATAGTTTCAGAAAAAAGTTTTAGTGAAACCTTTAACCCTCCATTCGCCAAAGTAATATTGATGTTTTCCGGTATACTTAAGACAGGACTCCAAAATCAAGCTCACGCAGTTGACATATTTGAATATTTTTCTGTCTTTCTGTCGTCAATTTTTCTCTCTATTTCCCTCTCTATTTTCTTAGCACTAAGAGGGTTAAGTGCTTTAGATTTATTTCTATGCCGGCCAATGTCGACTGATAACAAATAACAGATAATCAGATGAAAATAAGAAAATGTTTCACAGAGGCAGCTGTGATGCCGATTTTTTCGTAATATCTTAGGTCAAGTAAAAAGTTCGTTCGGTTTTAATATAAGTTATTGTCCATAATACTAGTGCTATGTGCCGCACCATGCCATACAATAAGGCGCTGAAAATGTCTTTATTCGCGCTAAAAGTTTGTCTTTCACAATTTTTCGATTGATTGACTCAGTATGTTGTGAGCGCTCGTCAAAGATGGACACCAGCAAAGAGAAAATTCGCTAAATTTTACAATTTTTCTTCGATCAAGACGAAAAAGCGGCCAAAGCAGATGAAAAAAGTAGTTTAGTTTATGGGCTCGATACTGTAAACGAACCTCTAGCACAAAAGTGGTTTGCTGGGTTCCGTTCCGGTAATTTCGATGTCAAAGCTGCACCAGAATTGGTGGAAATGGCAAGGAATCATCTACCACGAGCTGCTCCCTATGGCCAAACGCTCAATTCGGCTCTCTACTGCCCACAAATGGACCGCTTGAAGGCAGAGAAGCCATCTTTGATAAACAAAGGCCGAATTATGTTCCATCAGGTCAACGCCAGGCCACACACGTCTTTGGTGACGCGCCAGAAGTTCCAGGAGCTCGGATGGGAGGTCCTAATGCACTCATCTTATAGTTTGGACCTGGCGCCAAGTGATTATCTTCTTTTCCTGTCCATGGCGAATGCGCTTAATGTGAGAAGTTGGCCTCAAGAGAGGCCTGTGAGAATTTGCTCTCCGAGTTTTTTGCCAATAGGGACGCAGCCTTCCACGAGAGGGGTATAATGAAGTTGACATCTCATTGGCAACTAGCTTACGAACAAAACGGCGTATATTTGACTTAAATCAGATAAATGCACACAAAGTACTCATATTTTGAAAAGTCATAAAAAACCGAATGAACTTTTTACTTGACATAATAATTATAAATTACCTGTGGATCTGGAGAAGATCTACGAGAGCAAAAAAAAAAAAACAGAGAATTAAAATCTAAATGTAATTGCTATACAGTACGGAGCCATGGACGATAAAAGCATCTGATGATCTCGAAATAAAGGTGTTGCCGAAGATTTATGGCGTGTACCGCATTGGATGGAACGATGTGCTGCTGGGAATGGGATGAGAGTACTCTAGCTTTGAAAGTATTTAATATTGTACCTACATGTAGGGACAGAGAAAAGGGGAGGACCTCCAATCCGTTCAGAATATAAAGTGGTGATGATCCTGGCCTCATTTGACGTCTCAAATCGGCGTCAAAAGGCGGAAAAAAGAAACGACTGGTTGTTAAGGGGTGTCTGCCCGAGTAAATACGAAGAAAAATGCAGCTGAAATTAATAGAGAGCCCACATACTCCAATGGTTCAGCATTTTATTGATTGTTACAACATGTAGTAATATTTTTGCCAAATTTAAGTTGGTGATCGTCTCTTAAAACATTAGAGATTAATACTACTCAAGAGAGGATTCGCTTTGGAAAAGCAAAAAAAAAACTTTCGCCATGAGTGCTTTGCAATGAGGGTCCGAAATTCATTAGGATTTCCCACGCAGACAGCTGGTATTTTCAACAAGACGTTGCCCTCCTATTTGACAATTTTCCGATTATTCATCAGCTTTATACTGGTTATATACTAGTTCATTTAGGCATGTTGAAATTCAACTTCTCTAACAATAAAATGATTTTACCTACATCGATATTCAAACCGACTAACTCAACGACTAGAGCGATGAGTTGCACGGCGAAGGGAGAAGGAGTTTAGTCATCAAAGCTACCGGAAGTTATCCTCGATATCAGATCATTTAAATAATACAAAAGCAATATATTAAGCAGTGCTAATAGATAGCCACCTAAAAGTCTTGGGCAATTGGTTCAAACTTCTAATCGCAAAGGACAAAGCGGCTAGTCAGAAATTATGACAGAATTCGAAATAAACGTACCATTTGACCGAGAAAATGAAACCAAGGGTAAGCCAACAGGCAACTTAAACTCTTTCAAGTAGAGAAGACTGACCGGATGGTGGGGCCAGACACAAGAGCACGAGTTTTCTGTGATCGCCTAGAAAAACGAAGAAAGTTTCAAGTTCAAAGACTGTCGCGCTGTTTTCCAAGCAACTGTTGTATGCATTAGCTCTAAAAAAGAAATCTCGTGAGCAAATGGAGACAGTTTGATGTGTAAAAAAAATTGTCTAATGTGTGAGAATATGGGAGGAAACGTCATTACGGAAGTAGGAGGTAAACAGAAAGCTAGCATGCACTGTCGTCATCAGTAAAGAAGTCATTCTTAATTTCCTCAGCCCATCAAGCGCCCGCTAAGACTTTGAAACATTTGAGAAGCTCTTAAGGTCTTTCAGCACTTCCAGTTTGCGAGCTTGTTGTGAAGCAGCGCAAATTGCAGACGAGTTAAACTGTTATTTGCAGTAGAATGGTGTTGTTGTGGTTGCTGTATCAGGAGGAGTCTAAGTCCTCGAGGTCATCTAACGGGATGTGCAGGAAACTCACTTTTTCTACGGGCTTGGAATAGAGAAAAAACGGTGCTAGATGAGCTTGATTTAGGGGACATACAAAGAGGTTAGTAATGTTATACGGGATGTCGTTGCAAGAAGGGCATACATACTATATGTTGGGTATACCGGGATCTAGTCGGGATGTGCAGGAATTAAGTCGGCTACCATATCTAGATCATAATTGTGCCAGTATTACTCGGGTCACTCGGTATAGCTTGAGCTCTTGGCCAGCAATAGGTTGTTGTTGGATTCAAAGGAATAGAATTCATGAACATGTCGACAGAATAAATGAATGTCGTCTTAAGCCAGTCGATATGTCGTCTTAAGCCAGTCAATACGTCGTCTTGGGTATCAGTTCTTGATTTTGATGCACTATGGAGAGACGTTTCCAATCTTCAAGATGTGGGCTTACTCCGAGAACCTAAAATCGACCCGGATCACAATGTTATCACAGCGAAGATATGCACCCGCCTCTGCGTATCAACGAATGTACATCAGCAAACCCCAGGAAGGTACGACGGAGATAAGCTGCAATACGACTTGCATAGATGCTTTCTGAGAGCAGGGAGCTGGTGCATAGTCATCCTAAACTCCCTACTTTCCACCGCTGCGGAAACAATTGGATTTTTAAAGGGACATAAAAAGAGCTAGTACTTGCCTAGAAAGCTTGCAATCAACGACAACACGTTCAGGGTGGGATAGATACAGTAAGCTGATGCATTTTCACACAAAAAAGGAAAGAAAGAGGCCTAAACGCGTGAGTAGGAAAAGCTTGAGAAACTGGCCGACAAAGGTAATGCACCCAAATTTTACAAAAAGATACGGCGACTAACAGACGGTTTCATGGATGGAGCAAACTCTTGTAGGAACCAGAGGGTAATAATTCCCAGAGAAAATAGAGGAAAATATATCTAGTCTGCGGAATGGCAGTCTTCTAAAAGACCCGTGAGAAAAGATTCGTGACACATCACCCGTTCATGGATTTCAAAGCTGCCTTCGACAGCACAGCACGGAGCTCTACGTTGCTATATCTAAATTTGGTATACCGCAAAACTTCTACGGCTGGGTAAGCCGAGGCTGAACAGCTCCAGAAGCTACTTTGAGCCGAGTATACAATTGAAAAGTAGAGTCTTCACTCGACGAACAAAACCCAAACTCTCCAAGTCACTCTTCATTCGCATCCTGCAGAGGCGTGGACGATTTCTAAATCCTATGAGCCGGATTTGGGAGAATTAAAGAGGAAAATTATACGTAAGATTTATGGTCTTCTACTAGTAAGGAACGCAGCCGTACGAGTTATAAGATGGCATATTGACATAGTTCAGCGAATGAAGAGGCAGCAACTACGCTGGCTAGGTCATGTCGTTCGATTTGATGAAAACACTCAAGTTCGGAAAGTACTCGACGCAGTACCCGCTGGTGGAAGTGGAAGAGGATAGACGTCCAAGGAAGGATCAGATGGCAAACGAACTGGTTCCTGATGGTATTTTCAACTGGCGCCAACAACAAAGAGATGGCACGAATGGCGCGCTAATATTTATTCGGCTATAATTGCCTATGCCACTAAAAAAGAAGAATAAACACATTTAATTAATTCTATTTTTTTATTTCAAACCAACACAAATCAATCTGAGCAACACTCATAAACTAATTTTTCTAAATACACAACACAAATTTACGCAACACAACCAGTAGGCACTGCGGCTTGACACCTGTTTATGCTTGGATTGAAGTATGTGACGCCCGGACAAGATAACGGACGTCCATATAAAACACCAGTCGATAAATTAATGGAACAATAAACATAGCTAAAAAGGAAAAGTTAAAAAAGGAATGAGAAATAAGCGCACATTAGAGAGAACAGTTCACTGAGGCTACTTACGTCCGACACACCGTATCATTCGGATATGGATAACGTCCCACCAGTGTAGTACCCGCACACACTGCATCCTCTGGGCTCAGAGTCGTGCCAGTGCTTGCACTCGAACTGTCTGTGACTGTCGTCGCTGTGCTGGCTGTTGTAACCGTTGTTATTGTAGTTGAATCGGTAACACTACTATCAGCCGCTTCGATATCGCACATATCTTTCACATCCTTTAAACATTGATTCACACACGGACTAACGCCAGCATTCGCTCTGCTCGTAAGGCAAACAAAACCTTGCGGACAAGTGCTGGTTACGTTCGTCGGCAAATTACCGGAGCACATGACGAACGTGGTGTGACTGGTGCAAGCGTAAGCGTAGTTGGTAACATCGGTACAGCGACCACATTGCTCGGTATTGCCACAATCGGCTTCTACGGCAGTGTTGCTTTCGGGATCTAAGCAGATTTGTCCTAAATTCGTGCAGACATCGCCGGCATTGGGACAGGAGTAATTTACGCCTTGAGCGACACCTGGTGGAGAGAGTGGAATGAAATTTTGAGTTGCGGAAAAATGATTCGATATAAATAAATAATATTTTTGTCTTCTTACCGTTAAAGCATAGTTGAAAGGTGGTATTCGATGTACAGGCAGCGCCATTATTTGTATTGCAGACATTACAATCGCCATTGATTTGTCGTGCTGCTAATAAGACTAATAATACTGCGAACTATTTACAAGAAAAAAATATTTTCAAAATGAGCAAGTAATCCAAAAAAAAAAATATTATAAAATGAGAAATAAAATAATATTAATTTAAAAAAAAATCGAGAAAAATTGAAAAAAATGCAAGCAACAAAGAGCAAAAATGGCAAGTTTTTCTCAGTAAATTAAAAAAAAATACCAAAACCAAATTCGAAGAAAAAACCAAAAACGTTAAAAAATAAAATGAAATAAACTAAAAAAAAAGAGAAAACCTAAAATAAGTTGAAATAACCGCAGATATAATTATTTTTTTTTCCAGTAATTTAAAGAAAAATTAAAAAAGCAATAAATATTTTAAAAAAAATAATAATAAAAGAAACTAAAAAAAAAAATTACGAAACGTTGAAAAAAAATTGAAATAAATTAAAAAAAGAGAAAACAAAATAAGTTGAAATTACAGAAAAAAATAATTATTTTTTTTCCAGTAAATTTAAGAAAAAATTAAAAACCCAAAAAAAAACTAAAAAAAATTAATAAAAGAAACTATAAAAATTTACGAATTGTCGAAAAATAAATTGAAATAAACTAAAAAAAATTAATTTAAGAAATGTTAAAATAATTTCACATAACAATAAAATTAAAGCTTGGCAAAAATTTGAAAAAAGATATAAAACCAAAAACAAATTAAAAAACAGTTGTAAAAAAAATTAAAATGAGTAAGACAATTTTTTAAACTTTCAATTAAAATAATTAAGATTAATTAAAAAAAAACTGAGAACATTGAAACAGAATAATTTAATTTAATATGATTTAAATAATTTTTTCGTAAAAATGCACAAAAAATTTGAATAAAATCTAATTTAATTAAATTATTATATTTGATTTCAAAAAATATTAGTGAAATAAATCAAATAAAATTTTTGTAATTTTTAAAAATATTATTATATTTTTTTTTTTATCATTCGCTTACACTTGCTTTCCACATTTTGCGCGTCTCTGTTTCTCTTCTACGAAAACTGTGAGTTTATCTAAACTTTTCCACTTCTCCACAGCTACGGTTTTTACCAACTAAATTCTTTGTAAATGATGCTGTGGGTTTTATATTTTTCCGTTTGTTGTGTGCGATAAAAACAGGGTGTCATAATTTATATGCTGTCACATTGGAAATTAGATTATAAATATGAATGGCTGTTTGCAGAGATTTAATCTGCACGACATACTCGTACATACATCCCCTAGCACTCATACGTCCAACGGTAATGACGAACTTTAGCGGGCAGATGGGCTTTGATAACTGTAAAATGATATTTAGAGAATTTCAAGGAAAATGTTATATAAGCATAAACTCATATATGCCTGCGGCACAACGGTTAAATAAACGGCAGAAGGTCGAGTGAAAATCTCTAGACAGATTTTGTTTTTTTTTTTTAATTTTTAAACCTATTACTTTTTTGAACTTAATTAGTTCTTTGCACGCTTTGGGAAGTGCCATAATACTTCTGCTGTAAGACCACAAAACAGAATCTATTATCCATGCACGTGGGCTTGAACCAACCTTAGTTTACTATTCAAGTCACTCTCAAAGTTTTCCATGCTGTTGTAAGTCATTCGATCTCTTCTAAGACGTTTGTTCACTTAGCAAGCGGGCTTCTTCATGGACCAACTGCAACTCTGTGTGCGTAAAACAAGTATTTCGAAAATGTTTTTCAAGCCTTCAAGAAAATTATAGTTCTCAAGTTGATACCGAGTCTCAAGTCATTTTCCAGCTTCTGAAACAAAAAAAAAATCATTCATAAATTGATTTCCATTCGAGTTGGAGTTGAGAACGTACCTATTCTCAACTGTTACTTCCCAGTATGAGTAAAAAAAATCCACTTTAAGAACTCTATACTCACCCGATGTATCGACGTGATTAGTGGTGCGTGCTAATATGCGGAGGGTTAGGGAACTCATAGCTAGATCAATTTAGAAATTCATAGAAAAAATTCCTCCTTGGAAAAAATGCCATTAGCACCGAATGCATTACCGACTAAATACAAAAAGCACAAAAATCACACGGAATCGGCTCAAAACTGTAGGTCCCTCATATTTCAACGTCAAAAGTTAGGATCCAGACCACAAATTTAAGGCGAAACTCAGGCGAAAATCGGTTAAGTTATTATCGGAAGCGGCAATTTATGTGTTTTTCATTTTTAGCCACTATTGAGATACCACAGTCGAGAAGCTCTTAATTTAAGACACTGTAAAAGTCTCGTTCTTATCGCCCTATCTCTACTTCACTCGTAGACCGTTCTCACCTCAAAGTATCGTTGGTATCTCAAAGCAAAATCATCTCGCTTAGTAGATGAAACTATCCTAAATTCAAAGCATTGAAGCAGCAGAGTCCAGTAGCCTAAAGATCCTCTCTAATTATTTCTATTGCTGTGCATTAAAGTGGCCTTCCTTACAAATGATCCGCTCGAGGTGTTTGTCTCGCAGGTGCGCCTTGCAGTTACGTTAGTAAGTCGCATAGTCCTGCTTCACTCACCCTGTGAGTATGAAGAGCTCGATGTGGGAATCAAGCAGATTTGAAGATGGTTTCAAAAACGAACTAAGGAATAAACCTGGTGTCCAGAGCATACTGAGTGAGAAAACGCTACTCCAGCCTGCTGAATGGCAATGCTTCAGTAGTGGAGAGTCGAACGAATGCAGGAACGTGGATTGGAACTTAAGTGTGCTTTTTCTAATGCTCAAGTGGGATGAACTTCTCCATATCTCACATAAAGTCTTATTCAGGTTATTAAGTCTTATTGCTTGAAGGATTGAAACGCAGCGTCAACGAACTGATGGATCTTACGGCATAAAAGCCGGAAAATCTACACAATTGACGCATGATGTCAAGTCTTCGAATAGACGCGTTAGAAAAGAATCTACACACATCGCCTTTCCGTTGTACGCTATAACAGCACAGAAAACAGCTGCTTTAACAGCTAGATCAGAATCAGGAAAGAGCACTATGGGCTTTATGATAACAGTGAGATTTCTGTCAAAGTGACTCCCTTTTCGTGAAGAGTTCAACTGTTAAGGTAAAATCTCCTGAAAGAGCATGCAACTGCAGGGTCTGATAGTGTAAGAAGTCACTTGCATAAATGCCAGTAACGTCATAAGTCCTGAAATCGGAAATGAGACTCAGGAGAACACTAAAGTATTCTCACAACAAACAAATACCTCCACCGCAAGACTCGCAATGATATAAAGTGCAGTAACACGGACGATGAGAAGATCTGATGAGTCGGTACTGGGAGTTTCTGAGAGATAATCATTGTGAAAGATTTATGTTACTTTGCAAGAGCGATGAAACATTGATCTGTTCGGGATATACGAAGATAGAGACATTGGCCTTGCTGCCTAGGTAATATCCTTCGAATAGTGGAAAGCACTCCAACACTGAAGTTACCCGCCGGTGGAAGCACAGTAATACACATAAACGTCCACTCTCTTGAAGAGATTAGCTGGAACAAAACCTAGTTTCACTTAGTAAATGGTGAAGAGAAAAGAAAGAAGTGAATTGTGCGCTATTGTAGTTTCGACTAGAATCGCATAAGCGGTGTCGGAGCCAATCAAGAAGATGAAGAAGAGAACAAAGCTATTCAGCCCTGATTTTCCTGATAAAAATCAAAGTTATCTTCGCCGGAGACGGACGAGGCAAGAAGGGCAAGCTCTGCTGCCACAAACATTTTGATGCTAGTTAATTCACTTTCATAATGTCCTTGAAGACTTTGCAATTTGACGGCGATCTCAGCGATACCCACCTATCACCCAACTCGCCTCGAAGACTTTGCAATGTTCGACGGCTGAAAGTGTGATTTGGTAGAAATAAAAATTTTAAAATGAATTCGGAAGTGGAATAATCTGAGAAAAGTCAGCGAAAGCCTTGCCTCGAGCAATGAATTTTTTTTTTTTCAGTTTTGTTCTTTTCTCCTTATTTTACTGCAGAACATACAGCTGAGTGGTTACATATACATCCGCATATATATATATATATATATGTACTTAGTAATTATAATCGTTTTTATTTATATATTATTTATATTTGCATTAAGTGCCGTTATCACTGCGAAAGTAAGCTGGCAAACGGAAAAGTGATATAAAAAGCAGCCAAAGCAATTAAAGCAAATTTAGTCTTTGACTGAGGCGAAAAACCAACGGTATTATAATGCAGCACAACACTAGACAAATTTCAATTTTAGTAAGTACATACATACATACATAAGAAATTTAATGATTTTGTTACACAAAAAAAAATGTAATTAATTTGTTCTCTCATTAGTTACTCATCATTGCGGCAGCAACACTTTTGGTGCAACAATCTGTGGCAAAATGCGGTGTTTGCGGTGACAATGGCATTGCTTGTATTAGCGAAACGGAATTCTACATTTGCTTTAACGGTGAACCGGATACGAGCACCGTTCAAGAATGTCCTGACGGTGGCACCTGTACGAGTCTGTTGGCGAAATGTATCAATGCCGCCAACACTGAACCCGACTGTTCGAGTGACGCCAATCCTACTTGTGGCTGCTACTTCGGCAGCACAATGTTCGTCTGCACAAGTCGCACCACATTTGCTCAGTGCAATGGTAATGAGACCATTGTAAGCGGCACATGTCCTACGGGAATGTATTGCACTACGCAAGGTGGCGAAATTTGTATTGAGGAATGTAAGATCGAAGGCGAGCTTGAATGTGATATCGCTGCTAGTACGTAGACTGTGGTGGTGGACAGGTGTTGGTGGAGATAATGAAGTTGTTAACATTGTTTAGGCTTAGAATTAATGATAAAAAGAAAAATGCTGAAATAAAAATAAAATTAAAGATGAATATTTTACTTTAGCAAATTTGTTAAAAATAATGTGATACAGATTTGTTGTAAGAGGAATTTTTGTTTACTCTTCCAGAAGTGACGCGACGTACCCATTTAACTTGCTTAGATAAACCATTGTTTATTGCTAGACTTTCATTGAAAACTGTCATTGATGAGAGTCCTTGATTTTCGGCCGAGCTGCTTCACCAAATCATGCTGTGTGCCTTGATATTTTTCAATAAATGAGCGAACCTTCGGCTTTGAGGCACCTTGGAAAGACTGACGGGTTTTTATGTCAATCTTATATTTCTTATCCGATATACTCGGTGAGATTGATCTTCCTTGCCGAGGAGGGATCGCATTTAAGAAAAAGATTTCTTTAAAATCAACTTTCTTTAAACTTCCCCATTACTACCTTCGATACAATCAGCCGATTGATTTCCGTTTACGTTTAACCAGTTTGACAGCCATAATTTTTCTCACAGAGTGAATATTTTTCCCATTTTTCTGCTCCACATTCATTCAGTTTACAGTAGAATAACGTCCTCAAGTCGCTGCTCCTAGGGTCTGAGGAGTATATAACCTCTTATCTCTGTTCTCTGTTGCCTTGCATAGAATCGAAAGCCTTTGGGTAGGAGTCTTTAACCTTCCCCTAACCTTTGCTTCCCGCCAGATGCATGATGATCCTAACGCCATGATCCATGAGCATCATCAATGTTTGAAATACTTTTATATTTCTTCTTATCGATTTGTAATCTCTCTTGTTCTGGAATATCACATTTTGAAACAAAAGAAGGTTGAGAACCTGTTTAAAAGATACCTAAGCAATTAAGTAGGCTAAGTGTGTCTCCTCAATTAGCCGCACTAAACTTTTGTGAACATTTCCCTTGATTTATTGAACTCCTTCCATTTCTAGCAGCCCACCGCTGGAACCCTCATATTTTTACCTCTCAATCGGCAGAAGGCCGGCAATTCACCAGAGCAGTAGTCTAGAATTTCGTGTTGTTGTTGTTGTTGTAACTGCAAAATTATTCCCCAAAGTACTTTTTGGGGAATGTTGCGGGAGTGACGGTCCTTGGCCGAATAAAAATCCGAGTCTTTCCGGTATAAAGACCCGACTGTCGCGTGAACTATTGGATTTTAGTCGCCTCTTACGACACGCATGCCTTAGCGCGGATTAATTCTTGAACCTCCAACCCGCAGGGGGTCTCTAGAATTTTGTCGTCTTCTGTGCTGAACTTAGGCCATTCCACTTTACCTGGCATGTGGGAATGAGATACATATCAGGGTTGCATACCCCACCAATACACCAACATGGCTGCTAAGTTCCTTTGGATAAATATAAGTAAGAGTTCAGTCTTTCCAAAAAAAAAAAAAAAAAATTCTCCACAATAATTCAGTGATACGAGTACGTTCTATGTATAAATGGTTCTGTAACCTAAAATGTTCCCCCTGCTTCAGACAACATGAAAAGACTGAAGCGGTAAATGGTCATAGCTTCCTTGGATATTAGATAAATACAATTTCTATGATATTTTCGCCGCTTATCAGGGCAGGTTTCGACAAGCTCTAGTAGAGCTAAGGGACACTTCGAGGAGTATCTTACTGATTTAAACGTTGTGTATTCTGTATCATCACCAATATGACGGAACTTGTTCTTTAAGAGACACAAAATACCCACAACAAAATCACTAACTCTATATGGCCTTAAGTTAAGCCTACAAATCAAAGCAACATTTTTGGGTGTAGTTCTGAGCGAGAGGTTGAACCGGAAATCCAATTTGTTATTAGGTATGAAGAAGGTATGAAGAGGAGCTTGAGTCCAGAAATTTGTCATAGGATTTATATATCTGTAGCTACACCCAGTCTGATGCTAGGCAACTGTTTGGTGGTCTGCATAATACTAGTTGACAAAGATCAAGTGAAGCGGTAAAAAACCCACCATCCCAGCCTTAAATGTAATTCTCAGCATTTTATCATTGGATTTAGTTCAATGGATTATGTGGCCATAGCGTTTGTCGCTCTTGGTCTAAGAGAGTTAAATCAGTAGAATAATCAAGGATATGAACACTCAAGAATACCCGAAAGATTCATTTTTAAACCAGACAGCATAGATCGCTGCTGCGATGGTGCAAATCTCAAGATTTCGGTAGTCCCTTGACAAAATTGAGATATATGTAAATTGGTCTTAGTTCAATGGAAGGAAGAGTTGTTCGAGATGCTATCTCAAGAAGCCAACTTCTTCTTCAAGTTATGTGACTATGACAGTGTATTTCAAGCTGAAATTTCAGCTCTTACGGATGCTGGAGAGCAGTTAGGTAGTCATTTTAATAGATGGCTTGATCACGGTACGCTGATGAAGCGCACTAAGGCTTATGGACCCGTTTTTATATCTACGTTGGTACTGCTAAAGAGATTCGTTCCACCTTTCCAAAAAGCTCAAACCACTTGGTGTATTTTATGAAATTCAGGAGTTTAATGACACCTATGCGTGTAAGCTCTGTAAAACAATCGAAGAAAAATTTACCGAGAAAACGATAACGCACTGAGAGTTGTGCAGTGACAGAGATAATGTTCCACCGATCAATTATTTCTCGTCTATGTCCCTCCAGCTGAGGCAGAAGTCGTTTAAGAAGCAGGTTATTCTTTTACTATGAATCCCAATGGGTCAGTATGCGGTGATAACGCTGGTTGTTATACATACGGAAGTCCGGTTTAGAGAGAGCAGAAACTTTGTTCTGTTTACCTCGATTAATGGCCGGTTTTGCTTTTGGATCTTCTTGATTTAGGCTTGGGCAAAAAGAGCGGTATGCCCACGTCATCTGTAAAATTTACAGTGGTAATAAATTTTACGTTTTTGGACAATTTTTCAGCTACATAGTTCGCTGGGATGTCCTTAGGACTACGGACCTAAACCACGGACGTTCCGTATACAGTTGAGAATTTGTTTAAGATCTCTTTGTATATTATTTCCACTTCTGTACTAATATGATTGCATTGGAGAAACCTAAGGACATCCTGGTTTTAAGAATAAATAATAGGGGTTAGGAACGAGCAACCATGAAGCGGCTTCCTTTACAGCGGCTAGTTCTGGGAACTCTTTTACTAAAATTTAAATTCAGTGTAAACTCCACAACCTACTATCTAGTCATCTAGTTTAGAGCCAATGTCTGAAGATGGCTACGAATGTTTGATCCAGAACTGCTCCATTTTACCATTCACTCCTCTCTGGGATTTTTGATCAGTCGAAACAGTAGACGTATTTGTTGTGATCCGTGAGTGATTTAGAGCCTAGTATTTGTGAGTATTTGCTTGTGGAGTACTTCAGAGCAAGCATATCTTGATTCACTTACAAACACACTCAACCAATTGAGCTGAAAAAGGTGCGCCAAACTCTACAGGAGAATGAGTGCTCAATAGAATACACTATCTCTCACTTACTCGTAGGTTCCTAACTACAGGAACTGTATGAAGGATCTGCTTGGTAAGGTGGCACACAGATGCATAGGAAAGCGAACAGTTTCATTGTGGAAATGCTACTGGAGCTAAATAAGGTTTGAGGATAAGGAAACGGTCTCCCATCTTCAGGCGATTGACCCGTCGAGGCTGAGCTAAGCTGGCTACACTGCTAAACTCTCTAAAATACCAGATGCAATATAAATTACCTAGTAAAATTGATAAATTAAATGAAGTGATAATGAAACATAGTACTCGGGTCGATATCACAGTGGCTCTTCCTTGACCGAAGTATATTTCTCACAGCTACAGCCACTCCTATCCACTAACCGTTTGATTTGCTTGTGATTTCTCTCTCTCTCTCTCTCTCCATTATTTTATGTGAACGTTGTTCTTTTCTTTCTCGCTCTCTGTTCGGCCGGGTTAACGTATTTATTTTCGAGTTCTATTAGATTTTAAAATATAGTTTTGTAGTCGTTTAAATATCTAATCACCTTTTTATTCTTCTTTCTCTTCTTTTTTTTTCTTCTTCTTGCCATCTATAATTGTAGAACTGAGTAGACTTGAGTTCGTCCTTTCGAGTATTTTGTCGTATTGAGAGTTTTTTGGCGGGTCAATAGTTTATCATAATTACTTTACCAAACCTCCAGGATGACTAAAACTCACATCCCATTCAAGTAACCGATTAAAGTTGTCCATAGCAAAAGGTTTGTAAAAGGCGAAAGATTTATTCGACAACTAAAGAGAAGCCGAAAGCCTTGGCGGCCAGTGCTTGTTCCTTTAGTGGATTAATTATTTATAATTAGTTTTCTTGTAAATAAATAAATAAATAAATAAATAAATAAATAAATAAATAAATAAAAGATTTGTATTAAAAAAAGTAAAATTAGTTTCCTCCCAATGAGCTCATGAGCCCCAACTTTCACAGAAAGTAAAGTCAACCGACGGTTAAAAAGAAGAGAGCTGTCTATGATGTAAGGCTGTATTGAGTTTGCGCGCTCTCTTTCTGGAAGCTATTGATAGCGGTGGAACGAGAAGGTTTAATCAAAAGTAAGAGAAAAAGCTTGATAAACCTAAGTATGCAGAACTTAAAACAGGATTTTCAAAAATTGGCTGACGTTTTTTAAAAGAAAAATAATTGAATTTTTAAAGAGAACTATTATTAATCACTTCCATCATATTTTAAAAGATTATTGGGCATCGTGCATGACCTCTTCCACAAAAAAAAGTACCTAAGCATACTACCACGGCTTGCCTGTCCTTAGACTACAGGAAACATTAGACATTTACGCTGAATTTGAGTTTTAGACGTATGTAAAGTGTCACATATGGTGACGGGAAAGACTTCTCTGAGCTCTGTGATATATGATGGCTGTGACATAACCGTGCACTGTTTTCTCCAAGTTGTTGTCCAAGTAAAGGGATACTGTCGTGAATAAAATAGAGTATAAAAAAATTAATAAAAAATAGAAAGCGATAGATTTGACTACTTTCCACTTTGCCAAATAGTTTTCAAGGTCCGCATTATCTCTCTAAAGACGTAAGGAAATATTCAACAAAAACTATATTTATTTAGATAAAAATAATAAACTAGTATTCATTACTAAGGTAAATAAGTAAATACACGGATCTATTTGCGAAAATATAATAAATTTCAAAGGTAGAAAAATTCTGCAAAAAATGAAAATTTTTTTTTTGTATTTCAGCTTGTTTACCCAGAAGTTCATGAAATATTCCTTTACATAAATACGCTACCAAGGTAATCAAGCTACGAATAATATCAATTTTAATCGCACTATCCGGCGAGCGCAGTAGATGTCTTTGTTGAATAAATATTTCAAGTATTTACTAGGAATTACCCAAAAAGTTAACTGAACGACTGAACTCTACACGAGTTGCTAAAAATATAAAGTCAAAAAAAAAAAACTTATCTTTTCCTTGAAAGAGAATCTTAGGGAAGGTCAGATATATAGGGTTATCCATTTCGCAAATTTGACCTATGCCAAACTGCCAAACTTGGCTGTCAAAAAAATAAAAAAAAACGCTGATTGAGCGCTCGGGCAACAAGCAGTGGACGGCAATTTTCGATTAAAATTTTCTGCACCTCTCTCTTCTCACCACGGGGATACGCGCATAAGCAAAATCAACGAATTTGAGGCTCCGAGAAATCCACAAATCGAACTGAAGAGAAAAAAACTTACTGCCAGACGCGTTCTTTAGTTCGGAGGTGTCGTTGGAACTCACTTAATTGAAAATGGCAATGGGAAAACTGTCACTTCGAAGCATTGTAGTCCTATGGCAAGTGACCTTTTTTGACCTGCATTTGAAGAACACGACTTGGACAATACGTGTATGCAGTTTCTACAAGATGGTTACATATGCCACCGTGTAAACTCTCGTTTTGGCTATGTCAATTGGCCAGCGAGATCGTGTGATTTGACAACGTTGAGCTCGTTTTTTGTGGGACCTCCTCACCCAATTTGTGGTTTTGAGTTTTGATGTTTTCCCAACAAATGGAGGGACCTACGGTTTAAACTAAGCCACCGAGCGGCTGTTGGTTTTTTTTTGTGAGGAGCTTTCTATTTCATGTCAAAAATACACTCGCTTCCTGCCGAGGGGCGCCGTAAATTAAAAAATTTATCTTAATTTTTTTATTCAAATTAATTTTCTATGACTTATGAGATGTTGGTGGTACCGGAATATGAACCAAAGCCTTCTCAATGACAGTAGGCACCACAGACTGCCACAGTTGCGGTTGTTAAAATACAGCGCTGTATTTCTGAAACCACGAAATGTATAATCCTATAAAATGTGATTATATCATAGAACTAATGTTATAAATATCAGCGCTTGAGAAGGCTTGAAAATAAGTAAGCTTTGCCTTATCGGAATTGCCAAAAACAACTTGTCTTCCTATTTTTCCGTCTAAACCCCATTCCACAGAAATATGGCCGGCCTTAGCTATTATGAAGGTCGGAAAATAATTTGGTTAAACCAAAGAGATAATTTGGTAAGAAAAAACTAATGGGAGCTCATGTGTAGTTGAGTCATTTTTCCATAGAAATCTCACTATATGTATACGCGTATATGTACTCTGACATATATATATATATATATATATTTCAATTTATTTGTATGCTCTAATAAATCCCAGAATCTTATCACTATTCAAGTATCCAGTAGCTGTTTAGCATAAATCTTCTTTAATGCCTAAAATAAAAATCAAATTAAATCCACCACAAACAAACCAACGCAGATTTAGTTGATAGAAATATTTACACTTTTTTATTTTCTTTTTTTTTTTTTTGTTTATCTGTTTCATTATTTTTCAGAAAAATTAAACCAAGATGTGCCAACACACGTTCCATAGTCTTATCAACACAACCTTCGGGGCGAGTGAAAAGAGCAACCAACGCATGAAGTGCCTATAAAGCTAAGCGTCAGAAAAAACTTTGATTTAGTTGAAGTTCGTTAGATCTAACAGTTAGACAGTTGCAACAGCCAGAAGATGCATTTCACACAAGTTTTTCTAATGGTTGGTGGAAAAAATATTTTATTTTTATTTTTCCTCATAATAAATATTTTTTTTTTTTTAATTTATTCCAACACAGTGTGCCCTGCTCGCCGCAGCACTCCTCTACACACCAGCCTCGGCTAAGTGCAACACGTGCGGTGTGAACGGTATTGCTTGTGTCAGCGAGAATTCCTTCAACATTTGCTACAAGGGTAATCCAGACGCGTCGGCTGTCTACACTTGTCCGGAGGATCATGTTTGTGTCTCCGACAGCGGCAAGTGCGTGCCAAAGTCTAATGCCGTAGCTGATTGCGCCGCAGCAAAAAACACCTGCGGCGTCTGCAGTGGCAATAAACTCTTCACTTGCCTCTCGCCAACCACTTTTGCTCAGTGTAATGGTGAAACGTTGTTGCGCAGTATCGGCGGTTATTGTCCCAGTGGTTTGACTTGTGATTCGTCGCGTCCGGAAATATGTACTGTTGGCGGTGCGGAGTGTGCAAATTGAGGGAATTAGAGTTTAAGGGTTTATAAAAAGTAAGTTTATGTGTTGTAGAATTCGGTAAAAAAAAAAAATAAAAAATTAAATATAAAAAAATAAAAAAAAAAATAAAAAAAAAAAATAAAAAAAGTGAAGACGGTTGGTGAGGTGGTGTACTAATATGCATATACTTACTTACTTACTTTATTGGCGTGGACACCGCTTACGATTTACAACAATGCACCATTAGTTTCTGCTTTTTGCTGTGTGGCGCCAATTGAAAATACCAAGTACAACCAGGTCCTTCTCTACCTGGACTTTCCAACGGAGAGGAGGTCTTTTTCTTCCTCTGCTTCCGCCGGCGGATACTGCGTCGAAAACTTTCAAAGCTGGAGTATTCGCATCCATACGGATCACATGACCTAGCAAGCGTAGCCGCTGCTTCTTTATTGTCTGAACTATGTCAATGTCGTCGTATATTTCGGACATCACAGCGTTCCATCGGCTGCAGTATTCGCCGTTTACAACCTATTGCTCAAAACCTCTCTCTCGAAAACTCCTTGAGCCGACTCATCAGATGCTGTCATCGTCCACGATTCTGCGCCATATACTAGAAGGGGTATGATGAGCGACCTGTAGAGTTTGTCGGACTTAACTATTCAATTGCTTGCCCAGTCCAAAGTAGCACATGCTGGCAAGAGTGAAACTTAGTTGAATTTCCAGGCTGACATTATTATTGGTGTTGATGCTCATTCCAAGATAGACGAAATTAACTACGACTTAACGTTATGACTGTCAACAGTGATGTGGGAGCCGAGTTGCGAATGCGATGACTGTTTGTTTGATGGCAGGGAATATGTCGTCTTGTGCTCGTCCACTACCAGACCTATTTGCTTCGTTTCCTTATCCAACCTGGAGAAAGCTGAACTCACGGCGCGGTTGTGGGGGTCTATTATATCAATATCATCGGCCTCACCAGGATCTGTAGATATTGTACAGTTTCTATACAGGTCTGTGTCTCGTTTTAATTTCTTCATTGGAGCTGATTGCTACGTGGCGTGTGAAAGCGCACAACCTCGCTAGGTGACTAAGTTTAAATTGTGTACACATTCATATGCTTCAAGACCAACGCCCTCTCACAGCTGCACCTCTGGTCAATAGACATTGCATTTAGACTTCGGTGTACCCTTAAACCGTGTTAGTCGGAGTGGCTTCAGCTGCAGCTTTATGTCTTTTAGCCACGATCCAAGGCTATATACGGGTGGGTCAGCACATTTTGCACGAGGGCTGCTCACGTTTCCAGGGTGCGCGACGTGAAGGCAAGAGTCGGAGTACAGCCCGGCAACTTAAACTGTGACAGCAGTCATATCTGGAGATTAAAGAGCACAACACACAGCAAGTCTTTTTTTTTCGACTTAAAATTATTTGGGGATTTTTGACGGCTCAACTATGACAAGGTTGCTTATTTACATATCACCCGAGTGGGAAATGTGCCTCGTCACTGTTGTTAAACGATTGAATTCCCTAAACGCCTGACCGATGTCAAAATACATCCCTCTAGCTTTGAAAACACGAAACGGAGAACCCTTCACATAGACGGAAGTGCATAAAATACTATTTTGAAATATTCTCAGTTATCATTGCCTAAATACGAATCAATGTCAGCTACCAATTATTCTAATTAAAATATACTGTTATAAAAACACCACCACCTTGCGAAGTTCCCCGCTGACAATGACCCACATTTACTCGTACACAAATTCCACTTTAACAGTACAAAACAATTATGTAACCTCAGTGTGAGTTGCGTAAAAAGCCAAACGTTTTATTTCGACTTTAAATTTATTTGTCGGCAATTGGGATCTCAATTGCGCGCTTGGCTTGGATTATTAAAATATAATGTGATATAATAACAGTAAATATGTTAATACATAAAAATATTTACTTAAATATATATATGTCTACATATTTAAATGCTATTTGCTCTCGCACAGCAAAGCATTGATGAGAATTTAATTCACCGTCACATAATTCACACTTTTTCTCGCTGCCGATAGTGATTTTTAACGGTAAGCGCGTGCGCGCGCTCTTCCGAATTGTGGGAATTACAAAATTGTTGTTGTGACAGCGAGATAATTATTGCCACCAGGAAATGTTGCTGTGACATTTGCGTTGACAAAATGCAGGGCTTTAATATGCATAAAGTTTTGGCATTTGCGCATTCTCTTTGTGGCGCATTTCATTTGTTGCTCCCTTCATAGTACATATTGCCGCGTGTTTGTGTGTTTTGCTCTACCGACTACGACCGGAATTAGTGGGAAATGACATTGATAAATTTCGTATAAAGCAAATTTTGTTTTAACATCAATGATAATCTAGACTATGGTTGCCAGCTGTGAGGTGAAAATAAAAGAGAGATTTTAAGTTTTGACGATTTATTTTGAAATTAGACGTTGAATAGGGAATCAAGAGCCTATTTCTTTAGCTCCAATGCGTCCATGATTTTTATGAAAATTATTTAAGATTATTGTCAAAAACACTATCGAAGATAATAGCACTCTCCGACGGAGCTATCGACCGTACTTAAAGAAGCCTTTACTATAATCCATAACCCTGCTACTATTAGCACACACTGTTTCTCTTTCAGCTACTGCAGCTCACTCTTGTCATAGCTTTATGCGAGTTACACTCTCAGCATTATTAAAAGCCGTCGAGAGACACTGAGAGACACCGATACTGCAAGGTAAATTAGAGGTTTTTGCGCCCTTACACGGTTTAACCACGAACGTACACTATAAGTGGAGGGGCTCACCCCGATGTATCCTCATATTTGGCTGATTCGTAACCTGTTCTGTGCCCATTTCGGCGTCAGTATTCTTCTACCCGCTGAAGTTGTACAATATTTGTATATACTTTGAGTTGGACTGTTATTTATTAAAATATAATTTCTATTCTTTAGAAAGTGCGAAATACGAGACGATTAACAAAAGTACGCTCAGTTGGTAACTTTCAATTTGTTTTTGTTAAATCTAAAAATACCAAATTCTTTCCAAATACCTTATTAGTCATACTTTCAAGTTTAAGAATAATCGGAGACGAGACAACGCAAGATAGCTGAGCATAGGTCAAACGAAATTCCACCACCAACGCAAACAGAAATTCAGCCTTTGATTCTCTTCGGGTTTCGGCGTAATTTACAGCCAATAAAAATATTCAGTGAATGTCAGAGTGCATGTGGAAAGATTGCACCATTTTTATAGACTATTTCTCAGTGGTTCCGAAGATTTCAGATTGAACACTTTTTCATACCGGACGAGCCACGAGAAGGTCAACCAAAATCGTTCATTGATGAAGTCACTGTAGTACTGGTGAAGTCCAAAATTGACGACAATCCACGATTGGCACCAGATATGATTACTAATGAATTGATCTAGAATGCCCTGGCTGTATTGCGAATATTGAGTAGCCACCTGGTATACTTGAAGAAATCTGCTCGTTGTGTACAACGAGTTTTTAGTGAGGCCCAAAAAGAGGCTCGAGTGTATTTTGTTAATTTTTTCCCAAACAAATTCGAAGGTGGTTAGTCTAACAAATTTAGTAAAGTCGTTACTGATGACGAGTCTTAGTGCTATAAGTACGAGCCAGAAGCCAAACCAGAGTCTATGGTATCGAGCCGAACAAGAGCAAACCCGCCCATAAAATCTGAGCAGCAAAAGAATTGATGTCAATTTACTTCAACCGAGCTGAAATTGCTGCTGCTATTCCACTGGAAAAGGGTCAGTTGCTGACTGCAAAATGAAACACCGAAGAGTGCTAAACAAAAGTTTTCAAAAATTTGTTGGAAAACGAGAAGAAAGGGAATTTGTGGCGCTACTTTTGCCATCATGATAACGCGCAATCCCACACTGCTGAAATAACGATTAATTTGATTGCGTTCTCTGGAATCGAAGAAACACATACAGCAGCATATTCTCCAGATATAGAACCTTTCGATTTCTGTTTATTCCATAAATTTCAAAAACAAATAGAAGGAAGAGGTTTTTAATAGCAACGAGGAGGTAATTGATGCGGTTAATACTGAACTTGTTTTGAAGACTGTTTTCCGAAATGGACTTTTAGACTTAAGAAATGCATTGAAACCAATTGCGATTATGTTGAGATGATAAAAAAGGACAAAGATTGCAAATAAATTAAAACAAAAAAAAAATGTTTTCGTTTTCTGGTTAATTTGAGGAACTTTGATTCATCCCATCGCATATGGGTAATACTTTTTTGGCACATAATTTTGGGGTCGATCTCATCGAAAATATCGTATTTATGGTTCGATTTACAAGAAATTTTTTACACGCGCAGAGTTTTACTTAAATTAACAGTGCGAATAATTTCTGCCGGCAAGTGGGCCCAGTATCGATTCGATAATTCAGTTTTTTTGTGATATAGTATCGACCTCATGGAGGTGGCTTTTTGCGCTTTGTGGAGAACTTTTTATTCTTGAAGTGCGATTTGCTTAAACTTTGAAACATTTTCGAGCATAACTACTTGAAGCTTTGCGAAATTTCATAAAATAGAAAGTCTTAAGCTTTACAACACCGACGGCAACAAAAGCCCAAAATTGCAATAATAACAATTTAACTGTAAATGAGTACACATTGATTGTTTTATAGTTACGAATGGCAGTACAACCAAACCCACAACTACAACTGTAATAATTGTAGCGCAACTAATTGTTTTACAACATCAACAACAAATTAGTTGGTTATTTTACAAGTTTACCAAGTGTTAAAGACATTTTAACCACAAACGTACATACACATGCATATTTATAAACAAATAGTGAACAAACGATCGACCGACCGTGCGACAACACCTCAGCACATTCATCTCTCCAACTCGGCATTGTTGTTGTTGCAAGTGTTGCGGCAAACGCCCACCCGACACGCGGTGCCGCCACCGCAGCTGAGATTTGTCGCATAGATTTCTGCAATTAACAAATTCATATAATCAGCGCCGTTGTTGACGGTGACGGTCATTAAACTGTTTTCACGCGCTTCTTGACTATGGCATTTTGTAATTACAACTGTACGTGTATGTATGTATGTATGTATGTATGTATGTATGTATGTATGTATGTATGTATGTATGTATGTATGTATTTATGTATGTGTTGCGCAGCTTGTCACGTGCATAAATTGATTTGTCAGCGGCGCAGGCGCGTCAGTGCAGTTTCGTTTGTCTGCTTGTGAGGTTTACAAAAAATATATATATTAAAACAAAATTAAAATGCTTAAACAAAATTTAAGTGAAAATATCGTCTTCGGAATTTGTCTGCTGTTAGTTTTCAATCTCTCCTTTGGTGCGTGTAAAGTTTCGGAAGGCAGTTCGTGGAAGGATATGATTTTCGGCAGTAAATGGCTGCCTTCCGCGAGCAAACGCGAGGCAAGGTGTATGTTTGTGAATAATATATATGTACATATATGTGGAATAAAACCAATTAATTACTAGAATTTAAAGAAAACATTAATTTTCTTTAATAGAAAAACAAAATAAATTTTCCAAAAAAAACCCAAGGAATTAAAAAAAGTGCTTAATTAATAAATTGAAATTTTAACCTTTAGTTGAGTGGTTTGTTTCCATATAATGGAAATTAAATAAATATAAAATCCTAATTAAAGTGTTAAAAAAATGTATATGAAAAAAAAAACTATTTTGCAGCTTCGAAAATAAACATAAATCAAATGAGTTTAATATCAGGTGTACAACTTTTCCTCCGCCGTTTTTTCCCCAAAATTTAAAGCTTTAGCGCTAAAAAGTGCTTACAGATATATTATTCAAAGTATTGTCCTTCGCTAGCGACAACTTTCTCCCATCTTTTCGGCAATTTTCGGATCCCGGCTCGAAAAAAAGAGTCCTCTTTTGACGCTATCCATTCTTCGAAGGATTAAAAATGTTAATCTGCCAGGCCGTGTGCCCTCGAACGGAATAGGTGGAAGACAGAAGGGGCGGCATCTGGGGAATACGGCGGTTCGGCAAGACTTCCCATTTCAGCGTTTCCAGGTACTTTTTGACCACTTTTGCGACGTGAGGCCGAGCATTGTCGTGTAGTAGGATGACTCTGTCATGTTGCTCTTGATATTGTGGTTGCTTTTCTTTTAGCGCGCCACTAAGGCGCTTCAGTTGCATTCGGTAGCGATATCCTGTGATGGGTTCACCCGGTTTTAAGAGCTCGTAGTAAATCAAACCGAGCTGATCCCACCAAATACAAATCATAACCTTGTTTGTCTTCGACATCGAAATCATTATTTTTAAAACGTTGAAACCACTCCCGACACGTTCTTTCACTCAGAGCAGCATCACCGTAAGTTTCTGAGAGCATTCGATGCGCTTCAGCTGCATTTTTTTTTGAATTGTAACAGAAAAGGAAATCTTTCCGCAAATGGCGAGAATTCGGCACATAAACGGACATTTTCGAGCGTGAATAATACGAAAACAAGAACAACTGTCACTGAAACGGCGATGACAATTCGTTAGGCACTGTCCACACTCACTTTAAAGGCATTATCATCTATGTATTTCAACCAGCCTCAGCCGGTACAGCCACCTATCGGAAAACGGCGGAAGCAAAGTTGTACACCTGATATAACTTTTTTATGAAATTCCATTTTTGTTTAAAATTTTGGATCTTTCCATTACTCGTATACGTGACACGGTCTCACTTAAATGAACGCCGATCGAATTTTCGCTAACTTCGAAGCATTTTCGGTAGTTTTAGACAACTTTTTGGCACATATTGTGCGGTATTTCAGCCACAGTTCGACGAACGTTGATTTTCAAGCGCTCAAAAGTTAAAGGTTTGTCCGCATAAACACAGTTTTTCGTGTAGCCTCACAAAAAACGAGTGCTACGGCCTTAAATCACACGATCTCGCTGACCAATTGACTTCATCATGATGACAGATTACGCGACTGTGAAATTTCTCCTCCACTAAAGTCATATTCGCCATGTTGTGTGGCATATGACACCACCTGGTTGAAGTCATATAAATATCCAAGTAGTGTTCTTCAATCGCAGGCCAAAACAAGTCAGTTATCAGAAGACCATTACGCACCGAAATGACAGTGACAGTCTCGCCCTTGACGTTTACAAAGAAGTAAACTCAAATTACCCCTCTGAAACAAAGAGCGCACCAGACAGCAACTTTTCTTCTGGTGTGATGGGCTGCCTTCAATTATTTGAGAATTCTCGTAACAACTTTGCATATTCAAGTATACTTTGACTGAAAATTACCCTTGTGGCTGAAGAAAATTTTTTGCAAAAAACCGCCATTCACTGCTTGATGTTCATGCAACCAATCGACGTATGTTGGCTTCAGTTCTAGTGTGAGCTGAACTTTACATGGTTGTGAGTGTGAGTCCCGTGCGAAAAACGCCACAATGTGCTTTAAGAAAGTCCAGTCTCTTGAGAACCTCGAGAAGTACGCATTCAGGTCTACGACTGCACTTCTACAAACAGTCGAGATATTTGAGATGGAACGAACGTGGCGTAGACGAAGAAGCTATAGGCCTGCCAGAATACCGCCCTCAGCATCGAGAGAGAAAACCGCCTGATATCGCCGGAGCATCGCTTACACAGTGAAGCATCTAGGATACGAGTCAAGGAGCATAATGCTTTGCCATGCAAGCAATTCCTATTGAGATGTTAACACAGTTCTGAATCTCTACACAGGCACATCAGAAAGGGAATACTAGACTTAAAGGATACCATCCAGTATCAGGCTCAACAACCGCTGGACAGAAAGGCGTACAGTTAGGCACTAAACGCTATTCCCAATTAACATCTTCAAAGACTTTCAGTCTGTGCATGGCGTACTCGGAGTTAAACCACCACCCATTGCAGGCGAAGAGCTCGAGCTGCCTCGAGAGATCAACGTAAAACTGACGCAACTTAGGCCTGGATACTGTAGCAGTTTAAGCTCCTACTTATGCAGGCTCGACCACAACAAACCCAACGGATGTATTGGATGAGTGCATAAGTTCGTACCCGATTTCAAGTGCAAACTAAAATTGAAATTTTTTGAAGGAAGCGCTTTTATTAATCAATTATTTATTCGCCATCATGTTCGGCAATCAACTCCCAACGTTCAACGAATTTACGGATGCCTGATTCATAGAAATCGCGCGGTTTCTCTTTGAAAAAGGTGTCAAGGTGGTTTTTGACGTCTTCCACATTTTGAAATTGTTTTCCATTCAAATTGTTCTGCAGCGATCGAAACAAATGATAATCAGAAGGTGCGATGTCGGGTGAATATGGGGAATNGTTGAAGTCATATAAATATCCAAGTAGTGTTCTTCAATCGCAGGCCAAAACAAGTCAGTTATCAGAAGACCATTACGCACCGAAATGACAGTGACAGTCTCGCCCTTGACGTTTACAAAGAAGTAAACTCAAATTACCCCTCTGAAACAAAGAGCGCACCAGACAGCAACTTTTCTTCTGGTGTGATGGGCTGCCTTCAATTATTTGAGAATTCTCGTAACAACTTTGCATATTCAAGTATACTTTGACTGAAAATTACCCTTGTGGCTGAAGAAAATTTTTTGCAAAAAACCGCCATTCACTGCTTGATGTTCATGCAACCAATCGACGTATGTTGGCTTCAGTTCTAGTGTGAGCTGAACTTTACATGGTTGTGAGTGTGAGTCCCGTGCGAAAAACGCCACAATGTGCTTTAAGAAAGTCCAGTCTCTTGAGAACCTCGAGAAGTACGCATTCAGGTCTACGACTGCACTTCTACAAACAGTCGAGATATTTGAGATGGAACGAACATGGCGTAGACGAAGAAGCTATAGGCCTGCCAGAATACCGCCCTCAGCACCGAGACTTGCACTTGCACAGTGAAGCATGTATGCTATGAGTTAAGGAGAATAACGCTTTGCTTGGCGAACAATTCCTATTGGGATGTTAACGCAGTGAACACCCCAATCGGCACCTTATTAAGGCTAAATCTCTACACAGGCACATCAGAAAGGAACTACTAGACTTAAAGCTTACCATCCAGTATCACGTTCAACAACCGCTGGACAGAACGGCGTACAGACAGGCACTAAACGCCATTCACCAGGAGACAATTAACACCTTCAAAAACTTTCTTTCTGTGAATGGCGTACTCGGAGTTAAACCACCACCCATTGCAGGTGAAGAGCTCTAGCTGCCTCGAGAGACCAACGCCAAGCTGACGCAGCTTAAGTCTGGATACTGCAGCAGTTTAAAAACTTCTACTTATGCAGACTCGACCACAACATACCCAACGTATGTTTTACATGTACATTAACGACCTCTTTACATGACTTCTGCAACCGATGCATCTAACTTAACCCTCCCTCTGGTCCGAACCCGTTGGAACAGCTCGTTTCATGTGGACCTCCCGTTAGATGACCTCGGTGATTGAGATTGATGAGTCTGTCCCTAAACGGGGTTAGGGAACCGTTAAAACAAACAACCACAGCAACAAGAAGGTACCGAGGATGAGCAATACCTCGCCACTGTCACACTTTAAGTGTAACCCGACATAGTTTCTCGTTTCCTCGGTAATTTCTACTTTAATGATCTTGCAGATACTGCGTCAGCAAGTGTCAACAAACTTAACATTTAAGTGGATGATAGGAATATCTTTCAGTTTTATCGAAACCAGTTAAAGGTTCTGAGCAAACTACACACCAAACTCGCTACTTGCGTTGTCCCATACAAACTCGGACTCCTTTTTTCACCTCTTAGAGGTACAACTTTAGAAAATCCTCGGAAGTTTTTGGTCTCTTCGGTCAGCGGTTTGGGATGTTTATGCTGTGGGTTGATTGGCCAGTTATTCAGGACAAATATTTAGAAATATGTATATGGATAAGAAACTTTCAATTAATATAGTAAAATGTATAACAAACGACTTTTTTGATATGAAAATTTGTGGATTTTTGAGGAATAATTTATTGAATATTTTGAAAGAAAATCATAAAAAATAATTTTTTCATTTGATTTTTTTCAAAAATTTAATTTCTACTTCACAGTTTTACCGATATTTAGTGTGGTTCCCGTCGGTGCGGGTACCTGTACAGCGCCCTCTGGCGAGCAGGGCAATTGTATACCGAGTAAGGATTGCCTACTACGTGCTGGCATACCGGCCGGACCCTGTGCTGGAGGCTATGGCTTGTGTTGTGTTTGTAAATAGGAAATTATGCTTTCAATTTATTTTCTTTCAAAATTATAAACGAAATTTAATTTAAAATACAGATAATGATTTTTCTTACTGAAAATAATCCGTTCTAGTTCTACAAACTTGTGGTGGCGTTATACGCGAGAACTCTACTTATTTTGTCAATCCAAATCATCCGGATGTCTACGATGGGACGGGTAGTTGTCAGGTGACAGTGCAGAAGATACATCCAGACGTGTGCCAATTGAGGTTAGTTTAATTATAAAACAAGAACCCTCAACAACGGTCTTCATAAATCTACTTTTTTTCTGCGAATATTATCAGACTAGACTTTGACATGTTCTCTATTGCGCCACCCGAATCACAAAATCATGTTTGTAACCAGGATCAACTACTCGTCTCCGGCGGCAGTCCGATACCCACCATTTGCGGCTCCTCCGCAGGCGATCACAGTGAGCGAAAAAATTTCAAATTAGTGTTATAAATATCTATATGTAAATTAAGCAATATTTTTTTCCTCGTATTTAAGAAAAAAAACTATTATTTTAATTTATAACATAAATAAAATGTAATTAAAATATTTGTTTTCCACTTCACTTCTCCAGTGTACATTGACGCTGGCTTAGGTCAAAGCAATGCGATCGTGCTTTCGGTCATAACGAGTGGCACATTTTCACGAATCTGGCGCATTCGTGTCACACAGATTCACTGTGGCAGTTTGAGTCGCGCCGATCATGGTTGCCTTCAATATTATACTGGGATTAGTGGGCGTGTGCGGAGTTTCAACTACAACACTGTCACCGGACGGCAACTCTCCAATCAGGATTATAGTATTTGCATACGTGCTGAGCGGAATTTTTGCAGTATACAATATAATGCTTGTCCCGACGTGGGTGAGTGGGTAGCTTTACTCCATTCATATTTTTTAATATTAAATATTATTGATATTNTTTGTTTTGTTCAACTTTTTTTATTTTTCTTCATTTTATTTTTATTTAATTTTTATTTATTTAATTTTTTTTATTTATTTTTTGTAAATCTCGTACTTTCTTTTATTATTTTTTATTTTTTTACATGAATCCAGTTTTTTAAATGAAATAAAATAAAATAATTTTCTTTTAGAAAACAATCGCTCGCGTTCCTTCACCATCTCCGGTAACTCTAACAATCCCACGGGTTCTATGGTGGGCGGCGGCTCACAGGTGACGCAAAATACCTGCATCAACGATTGGCTGTTGATCGGTTGCATGCGTTCTGTTGATCGCATACCACCGCTGGCGGCATGTGAGGATCGTGTCTGTGGCGGCACGTTCAGCGCGGAGGTGGGCACCATTCAGCGCACCGTGCAGTGTAAGCGAAACAGCTTAGTACCCATGACTGTTCTTCTATTAATGATGTTTTTTTTTATTCTCCTCCATAAAATTACAGCGAGTGTGCGGCCTTTCCGGTTGTATTTCCATACGGACGGCGTTGAGGCGCCTACTGATGTGGATAACCGTGGTTTCTGTTTGGATTTTGTTCAGCAGCCATGCACAAATGGATTTTAGTTGTTTTAGAGTTAACCTGTTTTATATAAGCAAGTTGTTTTTGTACATTGAATAAATTACCAAAAAAAAAAATCTATTCATTTTGTTTCTGAAATCGATAAGTATTTGTGAGATATTAGGAAGATAACGTGTTTGTGGTGGATCCACACAAATTCAAGGTCCAAGAGAAGTTTCCAATTTACGGGATTTTTTACATGGAGATATTAATTTTAACAATGATAAAAGTTAACCATCTAGTGCCGCTAATCTTCGAGCATTGATTGCTGTCAAAATTTTCCCTTTTTCTACTTCTGCTACGCATACAAGTCCTTTCCTTCTGGACCTTTTTACAGTGAGTTAGACGCTTCCTCTAATTCAGCTATAAAGTTACTACATAATCCCCAACTCTCTCCTTGACTATATAAGAAGAAGGCACTGCTGATGCGAGCTATCTTTAATATTAGCGGCGGCATTGATAGCTGACAACCTTTGGCGGGATAAAACACAGATCGACTCTGGCATAGGCTACACAAAGCTAATGTGAGTCGAAATGTAGAAAAGATAATCAGTCGGACAGTCATAAATTACAACACGCTGGACAGCAGGTTCTGGGGAGATGCTGCTGAAGAAGCTGCAATTCATTCAGAACACCGGCCTAAGGACCGCAATTGGAAACTTCGTCATATTACCTGCGCACCAGTTACCCAGTGAAAGAACTATGTTTTCAGTGCCTGCTCTACGGAGGGGTTGTATTTGTAGATATCTACTGAAAGCAGATTCACCACAAAGGCATTTCAGAAAAGGCGTACTTAATCTAACAGACTCCATTCATTCTGTATCACATAACAGAGTTGCTGCACAGAACGAGCTACCGAAAAGTTTGAAAAATATTTCCGGGGGTTACTTTAGCGAGTGGCTGGACTGCGTACTACACGGCGAAGGGCCTTGGCCAAAAACAAAATACAAATTAATAAAAAAAATATTTCTTCTAATTGCGGTCTCGGCCAACATGGGACGGGTAGTTGTCAGGTGACAGTGCAGAAGATACATCCAGACGTGTGCCAATTGAGGTTAGTTTAATTATAAATAAGAACCCACAACAACGGTCTTCATAAATCTACTTTCTCTTCTGCAAATATTATCAGACTAGACTTTGACATGTTTTCCATTGCGCCACCCGAATCACAAAATCATGTTTGCAACCAGGATCAACTACTCGTCTCCGGCGGCAGTCCGATACCCACCATTTGCGGCTCCTCCGCAGGCGATCACAGTGAGCGAAAAAATTTCAAATTANGTTTCCTCACAAAAATCTTTCGGCTGTTCGGATGCGGCTTCAGAACGCCAGTTCAAGTTGGAGCTCGGCCTTTCGCCTTTCGTATTACAAGATGACTGAGAATTTTTTTTCTTCTTTCAACAATTCATTTGCAATATTTATTCAATTTTCTCTTTTAAACTAATTTCATCGTAACTATTACAATGACGTCATGCTTAATATACAGTGATATATATATATGTATATATATATATATATATATTATATATGTATGTATGCATATAAAATAATAAATTAAATAAAAGCACATATTTTATAATAATAATATTTTGTTTTTGAAACATTTTCAATTCACAATTTACTTTTAATATTAAAATAATAATCTTTAAAAATAAAAATATTATTTGTTAATTTCTTGCATTACTTAAATTACACTTTATTACAATATTTCTCATTTTTTTCAATTTCACAAAATTTTTAATTCACATTTTTTTTTTTTGTTAAACATGCCCAATACACACGTGAAATAAAGTTTATATAATATAATAATTTTATATTTTTTTTATGAAGAAATGAAGCGCGTTAACAAGAATTCTCGAATACTAAAAAAATTTTTTAATTTGAAATAAATTTTTACAAAGCAATTTTTTTATTGAAAATTATTTTGAAACCAATTTTTGGATAACTCGTTATTTCATAATTTAAAAAAAAAATAGTAAACAATAAAAATAAAAAAGTAATAGTTTTTATTTATTAATTATTTTAATTAAAATTAAAATTAAAAAAAATCCATCGTTTCGTTAACTTTCAGTTTCCATTTTAACTGGATTCGTTTGACATTTTTTCTGTAATTTCTACTGCTGGGAAGTTTTTCTCAATACAAACACAGCTAGCTTGACATGTCTGTATATATAAAAGGCACTACAGTTAATTGATTTTAATGTCATTTCCCACATTTTTTAACCAATTCCAATATTAATGCCTTCGTAAGGTTAGATTCAGTCGATGCTCATGAAAACCTCACTATTTCTCTTACAGCTAACGGTGCTCTCACGCGTTTCTCTACACAATCAACATGCGCTTAACCTCTTCGGTTTCAATGTTCGTTAACGCATTGTTTCGTTGCTTCTTTACTCACTGGCATCATTGCTTGAGATCGTCCAAAATAAATAAAATCAATAAAAAATCGCCATAAATTTTCATATTCTTTTTCTTCTATCCTCATCGTCATCTCTTTAAACACTTTTCTCAGTCTGTTTCATGGTTTTTGCTAAACTTTTGCCTCATACAGTCGTACATATTCGTATGTATATAAGTTTAAGAACTGCTAAAGCCAGCCGGTGATGTTTTGACTTTGGCTACTCGGCTACTCGGCTACTTGACTACTCTAGTGCGCTAATTAGTAGGTTTTTATTAAAGCCGCAACATGTTGTTTCTCCTCCTCGGTTAGACCATTTTTAAGCGTTCGACGCACTGAAAAGAGAGCACAATCGTAAAAAATATTAAACGGAAAAACTTCTCTCGGTAATATGAAGAAAACAGATTAGTCAAGCACAAATGAGTGATGTTAGTAAATCAAAATTTTCTTATGCATTCAAGCTTTGGCATTAGCAAAATATTATACGAATATATATACAATAATTGCATCAGCTGCATACTAGTAAAATACTAGTTCGTTGAGGTATTTCAAAACACGTATTCGCAAATATTAAACAAAACACTGCTAGTAACGCGAATTTCTAACGATTCTCTGTCTTACTGTGTCATCTTTTAAAAATTATTGAGTGGAGGTCACGTCAAAAGAGGAGTCCGGATACTCCAGATTTTTATTATCACAAAGCATTTTATAGTTACAAATTTAAGTGATACCTTGAACTGAATAATCATCTGAAAATAAGTCTCAATAAATAAGGTTGCCATATCTTCGTGATAGAACAATTGAAGACGCATTTGAATATTTTTCACTTTAAATATTTCACATTGGATTGGGAAGTCTTTTATGGCTCATTAATCTGCCTTTATTCTATAATCCCTTAAGAGGTACCTGAGGATTTACTAAGTAAGCTGAACTTCAGCATTCTTTAAGAATCATCGAGATATTTAAGACGCCTTTTCTTTAGTGCATGCAGAACAAACTTTGAAATACCCAACCCTTTCAGATATTTATGTAAGGATTTTAATACCCATTCCGCCACCACTACTCCCTACCACTTATTTTTGTGTATGAAAAAGTTTACTGAATATCCTAAATAAAAAAGTAATGACCGCCTTCGGAGGATGGGATATCTTAAATAGAAGTTTACGCAAGTGAGGAAGGAAAGTTCTTCGCCACCATTGAGCTTGTAGTGGCCAAAAACGATTCTTTTGTATACCGTTCAAGCAGCTCACGACTTCTGGTTTAGACCAAGTATCCGCTGGGTTGCCAACCAACGTCCGTTTGAAGGCAAGGTAAAGCGAAAAGGCGATACCCATGGGGTTGTGGATAGGGTTCGGGTTGCATCAAACTCCAATGAAAGATCAAACAAGGCAACCGATAAGAGTTTCCCTTTTTGATGACGAGCCTCGCTAACGTTTTAAGGTTCACGAATCGAAGGCATATACCTAGAACGTCCGATACCTCCATTGGAACGCTGCCACTGCCCAACTGGTTGGTGCTAAAATAAATACTAAAATGACCGCCGTCTAAGAAGTGCAAAGTACGGAAGGTGGTGAGCTCTTTAGAAATATACATATATATATACTACAGAGGCCATTTAAAAGAGCGCAATTTTGGTGTTGGATTTATGGTGTGAGAGAGAAATCTTTCAACACGTCGCTGATATGAGCTCATGCTCCAACGAAGGGGCGGGATAATGTCACCAAGACTGCTTTAGTCGTCTGTGGTATCAGATTTGATTTTAGACTGACGATTTTCGAATTTGTTTAGGAAAAATTGAGCAAAATACACTCGTGCCTTTTTTTTAGCTTCATTGGAAATTCGTGGCACCCATCGAACAGATTTCTTCGTGTATCCCAGATGATTATTTAATATTCGCGATACAGCCATGGCATTCAAGTCTAATTTGTTAGCAATCATTTCTTGTATCAATCGTGGGTGTTCGTCAATTTTGAACTTTATCAGAGCTACACTGACGTCATTAGTGGAGGATTTATTGGCAATATAAAAAAAGTAGTTTTATATTCAATGTTGGATGAAGATTTATTGAAAAACGCTAATTTTATCTGTAATTAATTTTTTTTTTTAATTTTAATTCGAATATATGTTGAGTATACGTGCAATGTTAGAGACTTCTTCAACTTAATACTAGTTAATTAGTAGCGTCAAGCTATTCACAAAAACGGGTCACAAAATTTTTTGGAAAATGCCAAAAATATGAATTCCTTTTTTTAGCTTAAAAAATTTCGAGTCTTTCTTTTTTTGACCTAAATTTAAACAGTTACTTAAAAAAAATAACTTGCAACAGATCATGCATTTTCAATCCAAAAACGGTTATTACATACATAGAGTCAGAAACAGCTTTGCATTTAAGCAAAAAATTTCAAAATCTTACAAAAATGCCAAAAATGTATTATCACTAACCAATTTGCCCACTATTTAACGGTGTTACAACTGCTTTAAGAGGTTTCTACGGCGTTGGTGCGCGTTCAACAGTAAATCCTTCACGCGTACGCGATCGCTTCACTTCGTAGAAGAAGGAAGACGACGATTAGCAATGGAGTTTCGAGTGAAATTTCAAAATTTTTTTTGTTGGAATTTTTTTTTTAATATTAATTTTCCAATGAAGTGTTAAGATGATAAACACATTTAGAACGTTTTCCAATTATAAACCCAATAATGGTAGATACATACATACATAAGTGAGTGTAGATAAATATTTTTTTCGTTCGTTGGTTATATGAAATTAATAATAAAAAAAAAATATATTTATGAAAAATTGTTGCTTAAAATTGTTATGAAATTGTAAAAATAATTATGAATTAAATTTTTTAAATTAAAATAATTTTTTATTATTTGGTTCAATGTACATATGTGTGTGTGTATAGGACCAAGCCGTCTGTTAAAAATTTTGTTTTTAATTTTTTGAACTTTTATAAACTTTATTCTTTTCGTATTACAAAAAAAAGTTATTTATATATTAATTTTTATGTTAACTAATTTGTAATTTGTACAACTTTTTTAATAATTTTTTTTAGGTTATGTATTTATGTATGGCTGTGTGTGGTAAGTAGGTGTTCTAAACACAACTGCCCGTGGTTGCACGTTTACATAGTCGTTTGGTAGGCTGGTGAAAAACGAATTGTGTATTAATTCTCAAGAAACTACACTTTCTTAGCTACAAATACCCACACCTCACTGCACTCACACGCTTAACTACTTAACTACTACAATACATATCTACAACTCTTAATGGCACAAAACTTACATGATTTGCGATCGGCATGGCGTGTGCGCTTCCGCTCCCGTGGCGTCGTGCGTGTGCCCGGCGCTTTGGTCGCAGTCTTGACCAACGACTCCAGTATCTCATCATCGCCATCGGTGAAATTCTCCTCACTCTGGCGCGCAATGGGCGAGCGCAACTGTTCGGCGCGTCTGCGACGCCAAGTCAGTGTGCCGTTCGAGTCAGGTGTATCGGCGCTGGGCGTACCAAGTAGTACCCTGTAAGCAAAATGAAAATATAGAAATACTCTTTCTTTAATTCCTGTTAAATTTCCCTTACTTCAATTCCGCATCAGCACGATCCTCTTTGGTTTTGAACTTTGCCATATCGATTATGAGTTTGCCGCGTGTCTTATTACGCTCACGATGGTTTGCCTTCTTCTCTAGCTGCTGTTGCACGCGTTCGCGTGTCGTGCGGTATTCCAGCGCGAACTCGGAGAGTATGCGAGAGAATTCATTTGGCTTCGACTCGGCAACGGTGTGTTGGGGCGCGCCCAGCCACAGCAGGAATTTGCGGTATCTAAAGGAGAGTGTTGGTTGGTTCTGGCTTAAACTAAATATATAAATATTTCCACTCCACTCACCTATTCATCACACGTCTATGCACAATTTGCAATATGATTATGCGTTCGGCACAGTCTGCTAAGAAATCCACTAGTTTCTGTTTCAGCTGTGGTGGGCAGTCGTGTTTGGCAATTAACTTGAGTCGATCCCACGAGGCTTTGCACTCGTTCTCCAATTGATTGAGATTGTGTGCCAAATCGGAGAAGTCAGCTTTGGAAGCGCGTGTAATTGGACCGATTTCTGAGTATAAATCTGTGGTGTCCGGCGAGGACTCCATGACCATGTGGCAGAGATGGTGGAGCAGTGAATGCTTGTGTACAGTGTCTTTGACCTCAGGTACCTGCGGCATAGAAAAATGTTTTTAAAAAATGGTTGGAATGGAGCGTTTGCTTGAAGGAATCAAGAGTTTTGTTTAATTTCAAGGAGTTGTACCCCAATTTTTGCATAGACCTCTTGGCTTATATGAAAAGGGTCTGGAAATCTCGAAGATGCAGCAAAAAGTAAGAGTGTAAAATCGAACGTGGAACAATAATCTAAGGAAGTTTCTTTTTGTGGCACTCACAACGTATAACAAATTCCCATAATTTCAGAAAGAGAAAGAGAGAGAGAGCAGCTTAAAGCTGCCGTTTTAATGACTATTAGAGATTTCCTACTTCTGTGATTGAAAAAGAGCTTGAGGTCATTCAAGGAGAGCCCATTAACACTTTCCACAACGCCTCTCCCTCTCTTCTCTCTGTTTTCCCGCTCTCTCTCCCCTCTTTTCTCTCTCTCTCTCTCTCTCTCTCTCTCTCTCTCTTTCTCTCTCTCTCTCTCCCTCTTTTTCTCTCCCTTTTTCTCTCTCCCTAACTCTCTCTCCCTAACTATCTCTCCCTAACTCTCTCTCCCTAACTCTCTCTCCCTAACTTTCTCTCCCTAACTCTCTCTCCCTCTCTCTCTCTATTCCTCTCTCTGTTTTTCTCTCTTTCTTCATCTGTCTCTCTCTCTTTTCCCCTCTCTCTCCTCTTTCTACTATCTCTTCTGTCTCAATCATCTTCCTTCTCGATTCTCTATCTCTCACCTCTCTCACTCTATGAATAAGGTTATCGGGATCAAAGAACAACCTATTGCAGAAGAAGAGCTAATATTGTCTCGTAAGGCTTGCATAATCTCTATACAATTAAGGTCTCTCTACCGAAACTCGATCTCCAGCCAACTCTTATACCTTTAGGTCAAACATTTCAAAACTCTTGGACCACTTGTTGATTTCAATGAGCCCTGGGAAGGAATTCAACATTTGGAATCAAATATCTGTTTACCGTGGGGTTACCCTGGATATTTCAGTCTCTTGTGCTGCACCTCGGTTATACCTAACACGATGGATAATATTTCAATTACCTTGGATAAATACTCAATCTGGAAACCCTTAACTGGTGCTCCATTCAAAAATATTCCAACAGACAACAGAGTCGACAGAATGCATTTGAAGGTGCGATTATTACGAAGGATTTCGATGCCCTGTTTCAGATCCATCAACGGCTCTGCAATCTCTTTCTGTTTGGGTAGAAGAAGAAGAAGAAGAAGAATTTTACACTTCTATACTTTATATGTAATTTTTATACGAACTTACTTCGCTATTATCGAAGTCCAAGCGGAAAGCCCACAATTTTAAACGCGCGCCCAACTCAGAAATGGAGGCCAAAGTGAGTAGGAATTGTTCGGCGCTACCCAAAGGCAGTTCGGGATTGGCCATCTGTAAAATTGGGGGAAAAATAAAATTAAAAATTTGTTTAATTCTTCAAATTTAAAAATAAAAATAAAATTAATTTCGAATGCCTTCAAGTTCTGAAAAAAAAAATTTTTTGAACTTCATAAACGAGTCACCCTGTACTATATAAATATGTATGCTTGATTTTGTTAATTTTATTATTATTATTTTTTATTACCTGCGCTTCTTGTATTTTACCGCGCTCCTCGTCCGTTGGCAACATATTCAAGAGCTTATCGATGCCCTCGCGCGTCACCACCGTCGCGTCCATTTTCAATATCGCCGCTTTGATAGCGCGCGGCGGTGGCAACTTTGTCATCGCAATATTGATTGCATTCGAACGTTTATGATCCAATACGATAATCTCTTTGCTTTTATTCAGTTCTTGTTGTTTCTGGAATATGTTATGTAAAGCGTGTTAGAAATGTTCAAAGAAACAAAAAAAAAAATTTAATAACACAATTGAACGTGAGAAATGGTAAAACGAAGAAGTGAACGATAGTTGATAGTGAGGGGTGAAGATAAGAAAAGTTTTGTTTTTCTACTTTAACTTGTATTCTTGTATGCATGTATGAAAGTATGTAAGAGTGGGAAGATAGTTGGAACACATAAACACAAACTCTGTAACAACCATAAATATTCAAAATGTTTGTGTGTGTTGAGTGAAAGAAACAGCGAAAATTATGTTCGAATTTTTGTTTGAATAAAAGATGTTTCCTTTTTAACAAAGCGTATTGTTGTAGATATTTTTGACGAACCTATGAAGTTGAGAAAAAATATTCCAATCTCTAAAATAAATCCGAAACAAAGACAAGACTCTATAAATAAAATATTCCTCAAGCCCAATCTGTTGATGGGGACATAAATAAAATAAAGCTTCCGGAAAATGTTTTTTTTTTTTTTTGATATTCGCGGTTCGATTCATCATGAATTCGTTCCAACGAGACAGGAGGTCAATAAAGAGTATTATTTGAGCGTTTTGAGGCGTTTGCACAAAAACATTCGTCGTAAATGCCTTTAATTTTGGGCCAACAATTACCGGAAATTTTTATGACGATAATGCGCCACCAAACTGAGCTGTAGTTGGGAACGATTTTAAGACAAAAAACTCGTTCCATACCATCGACTTTTTTTGTTTCCCAAACTCAAGTTAATATTGACTCAACTAAGGTCGTAAAAGAAAATTCGGAATGGAACTGAAGCCGACTGATTTCAACAGCTGCTGCAAACGAACCGGTTTGACAGAACGCGCCCATTTTGGATCGTAACTGATAACAGTGCTACCAACTTAACAAAGAAAAAAGTGCTGAAAATATACAGCGCGAGCAGTTTAAATGACAATTTTCGGAAGCTTTCTGGACCTAATGTATGTATATTTCAAGTTCAGTGATAGCCAAGTAAGGAATATAAACAGCGGCGACTCTTGTCCGAGAAAAGCTATGAAGGACTCGTACAAGTGGCACAATTCATTTAAGCTAGGAGGGGAATTCCTTGAAGACGACTCGAGATCGAGTAGGACCACGCCAGAAGTTGGCAAATTTGTCCACGACGATGCTCGATAAAAAGGCAACAACTCGCCAAAATTGTTACATGCCGTGAATCCTCAAATCTCTTCAAAAGAACAGCGCATAGAGTGTTCAGAGGCATTTGAGGTAGAAAATTGTTACTGGTGATGAAACATGGGTTCCTTACTTTCCACCTCAGTCAAAACGTGACTTCGTGCAGTGGCCGAAAACATGCGGAGTACTTCCCAAGAAGTTTAAGGCATCACAGTCAGCTATGAAACTCATGACAAACCATCTTTTGGGACTCGAAAGGAATAATACCATAAGATAATAAAGATAAATGTGTTTCTATAACTGAAAAATACTATATATATATTTATAATTGGCGCTTTGAAACCGCTGAAGAGATTTTCGGTCGAACCCCTCCTCCATTTTGTGGTTTTGAGACTTGAACGTTTTCCAGCAAAACGGAGGGACCTATAGTTTATACAAAGCCGCCTCCGAACAGCTGATGGTTTTTTTACGAGAAGCCTTTATTTCATGCCATAAATATACTCGGAGGGCTGAACATTCCCTACCGAGGGACGTCCGCAATTAGAAAAATTAGCTGTTTTTTAATGACATCGTGCCCTCCAACTAGAGTCGCGTTTCGTTGGCTGGCCAACATAAGATGAACCTCGATATTTTGAATCTTTTTGGTTTAAAGATCTGTAAAATATATCTATCTTGCAGGTCAATATATGGAAAAGGAAAAACTATCGTTTTATTGAGTTTTTCATAAAATATATATCTATAGCCCATATTACGGTATAAGTATCGTAAATGTACTCCCGAAAGGTATCGCGGTTAAATCGCAATTTTTTACCCAAAAATAAAAGAATTACTTTTTGAGCTACCTTTAAATATGAAATATATTATTTCCAGGAAGAAATCATTAAAGAAATCGATTTTTGTATTAAAGGAAAAATTTTAGTTATTTTTTAAATGTGTCCGTCGTCAATGAGATATTCGATTCAGAAGATTTTAAGAAAAAATTTGGCTGTTTAAATTTATTCAAAAATAGCAAATGATATTGAAAATTGTAGAATTAAGGTACATTTTGGTATCAAAATTTTCTAAAATGCTGTTGTTAGCTATCCTTATCGCCCTTCATTTTTAGTTTTCGTATTTTAGATCAAAGCTTCAGATCTCAGGATCCCGAAATCAAAATGTAATTTGAACGTAAAATTTCAATTCTCAAGACATGTTTTTAAAAAAAAATTATTATATATAAAAGCAGTTTTAAGAAAGATTAATTTGAAAATAATCGAAAATCTATTTGAAAACCATCTTCTGCATCCTTTGACGTCCAACTAACATTACATATGGTTTGAAACTTCAAAAAATTTATTTTTTTATCGTTTTTGTATAAAAGTGAAAAGTATCAGCAATATTTTCCCCAAAGTTTCAAGACGATCGAGACGAAACTGTAGAAATTAGGGGGTTTTATAACCCGTCGGCGTTGTCATGGCTTGACCGAACTCGAAACTTTACAGGCGTTTTTCTTAAAACCACTTTATCGAAATCAATATTTCTCAACGACTATTAAAGCGATCGGGCTCAAATTTTCCCCACTTCTTTTAAGCAAGTTTTTGTAGTCGCTGAACGAAGGGTTTATTGTATCTTTGATTTCAGCTCATTTTACAAGCCAAAATGGGACTAATTTTATGTAAAAAATTACGTTTTTTGTAAAAAACAAAACGCTACAAAAAATTCGATTTTTAATTTCTTTAATTTTTCTTCGTTCAGGGACAAGAAAATTCACCTACTTTAAGAAAAAATTAGGATTTTTAATTTCAGTTAAAAACTGAAAAAGTTATCACGACTAACGCGAAAGCACTTTCTTGTGGACGGTCTACTTCACGATACTGACAACGCCTTAACTTATACTATTTTTCATTAAAATTTTTATCAAGTGTAGTCCACATATTGTATTTTATATGTAAACAAAATAAATTGTATACTTTATTTAGTAAATTTAAAAAAAAAAATCAGAGAAAATAAGCTTTTTTTGGCCTTCAAGACCCATGTAACCCCTTAAAAAAAATTAAACAAAAAAATGAAGTTATAAGAAGGCTTTTGGCGTATTTAGTATAAGAATAATTTAAACCCAAATAAAATTTAAATCCTAAAACGAAACATATTTTAAATACTAAGTCTGAATTTTGAATTCGATATAATTTCTAATTCAATATTTTTCTACCTTAAAATCAAAAAGCCTTCTTTTTATACCAAATCTAGAACGATGCTCAAAGCTTTCGAACTTTTCAGAATTTGGAAATCTGTTGGAAAGCTTTTATATACACAGAAATATTATAACTGAAGTCGAATGTATTACAATAAAAACATAGATATTTATGGAGACACGATATTTACTTAATAACTAAAAGACACAAAACGTAATAATTAATAAAAAAAAAATTAAAAAGTAATACACAAAATATTTTTTTTTTAAATAAATAATTAATAAGAATATTATGAATTTTGTGCAATTAGACACCTTTGTGCGTGTATTTTAGTGACTGACAATGTGTGAATGGTGACTGCTTGTAAAAATAACTTAAATTAAAAGAAATTTTTTTTGATAATTAACACGCAAACAACAAGTGTAGTGTATTTGTAGTGAAAAGGAAGATAGGAAATGCAGTCAATAAAAATCAATAAAAGAAACCAACACCATTTCTTAGAACCAAAACCAATAAAAATCATTTGGAAAAAAATCCAAGGCACTCACCTCCTAAATTTTCGTAATTTTTTTTTAATTTTTTCAAAAATATTTTGTTGCAATTTTTTCCAAGTTTCAACACATTGCATTCAACATGGAAACATATACACATATATATATATATATATTGTATATCCACAACAATTCCGCAGACAAGTCAAGTGTGTTGATAAGTTGAGTGGTTTCAACAAATTTTTTTCGTTTTTATTTTTCATTTTCGGTATGCATTTTCATTTCATTTCAACAAATAAACATAGAAGAGTAAAACAGAAAAGATTGTTGTATTTGTTTATTCACACACATAAGATACATACATAAATATTTAGATATAAATAAAATAGTTAAAAAAATTATTTTCCATTAAAATTGTTTTAGAAAAATTTTTCCAACCACCAAAGTCACCCGCAAAAAAATATCCGAATTTTGACATAAACAATTTCATTGAAAAAAATTTTCCACCCACGCAAGCGGTTAATCAGTTGTCGGAAAACTTGCATCTTGCGTTAGGAATTTGAAAACAAGCACTCACCTTAGTCATTAGATCTTTGGCTCTGGACTCGAAGAGATGCTCCAATTTTTGTGTATCCACATTGGACTGTGGCAACTCATCCCAAATGGTTTTACCAACCACCACGGGAATCAGGTCTTCACGTACTTCCTTCCAAAATAGCTTGACCTAAAAGAAAAGATGAACAAAAAATAATTTTAGTATAATTCGCATACATTTTTCTTAATCAATTCAAATCAGAATATCTAAGATTATGCCAAATGTATGCTACACAACAGTGTAAAGAATCACAAACTAAATATCGGAAAGCATTGCCTACATTTAGGTTTGATTAAGTCAAGACACACACCTAAATTGATTTAAATACAAAATTTCTGTATTTTTATTTTTTATATTATTTATATTTTTTATATTTTTTACGTTCATTATTAACTGAACCTCGTTTCAGCGTAAAAAAAAATTAAATTAATTTATCTTCTCTGCAAATTGTTTGAAATTTAGAAAAAACTTAAATTCTTTTCTTTATCGAAATCTTCATAAAAATTAAAAATTCTACTAAAAATCTAGAATAAATTTTTCATAAATAAATATCTTTAATTGCACTCACCGTTTTCTTATTCTTTCGTATTGTATTCGTATTACTAACATCACCATTCATCGAACCATTCATAGAGCTATTCGCACTATTTGTCATGCTACCATAACCACTGTAGCTGAACATTGGTGGTGGCACCATTTGGCCAAGACTATTCAACGGCGGTGGACATACAATATGTGCTGGTGGCATCATTGGTGGCGGTATGCCACCCCCAAATGGTGGTGGTGGTGGCGGTACTCCAACACCGAGGCCACGTGGTGCCAATACATCTTTTTCATCATCCGAATTCAAATCGGTAAAGTCTAAATCACATAAATTCAACGGACGTATCATATTGCGTACGAGCTCCTCCCAGTGTAGTTCGTTTTCAGATTTTTTCGGTTCCACTTTTTTGATATCCTGATCCAAACTGGATGAGCTAGAAATGAATATTTAATAATGAAATGGATTTAATAAAATTTTGTCTTGAGATATGGAATTATTTCGTTTACAAAACTAGACCCTAAGAAATCCATTATTATATTTAATCTCTTTGTCGCTCTCTCACTCTCTCGTCTATTTGATGTTAATTATGACAAGAATCTGCTTAACTGCGACCTATCAGGTTTTTAAGCCACACAATTGGGTATGAATTCAAAAGTAGATTCGACTAAAGATATTTCCTATAATGACCTGAATTAAATATTCGTCTCAATCTTACTTTTAAGGCCCCTCGCTTACCAAAAAGAGGATAGCGTAATAATGTCTTTGGAGCCTATGAGTAGAGAAGGTAGTTCCACCTCACAAACTGTTAGACCAACTCGCCTGAAGATCGCTACAACGTTTTCAAAGCCCCAATTATATATGTATCTATAATCAACAGAACTCAACCAAACTGTGTGGGTTAGCTATTCTCAGAAAGAGTTAAAATCCTTCAAAAATGGGCAGGGTTTGGTATAGAGAAATAGAACTTATTTCCCACATAGCAGACCTCCAATTTTTAGCCGATTTTTGTGCTCATGATCGAATTTGATTTTCAGAAATTTATCAAGAAATTTTTATAACACTTAATGGACTTTAGTCCTTCTGAAAAGATCAGATAAGCCTGGATCTGGGGTTTAATTTAATGTTAATCGAGTGTTCAATGTACGATTCCACCCGAAGTTTGTGTGTTCCCCATAGTTGCTTGAATTTGGACATATTTTAACCTCAAGAATCCCTCCAGACCTTTCGATTTCAAGGAGGTTGGAAAGACGCTGAGGCGTTAAATACAGCATTAGAGCTAATAGCCTGATTATGAAGATTTCTTATGTAGTACCCAACACAATTTCTATTTATTTCACTCTTTTGAAAACTTTTTTCGGATTCCTATGCGTTCTTTGATAAACTTGCATGATAATACTCGGAGTTCTGGGGTAGAATTGTTAATTTGGAGGTTATGAAAATGCTAGAAGGTTTTATTCCACACATAAGAAACTTCGTAAAAGTCGACTGTTACCTATAATAACCAAATAATAGTTTCTTTAACGCTAAATTTCTGTATTCTGAAAGTGTTTTCAGCCAGTCCGCAGGGCACAAAGAGCCGAAAATTTGCGTGTTTAGAATAGAAATAAAAAAAAGTCCCATTTCTGGAGAAAGAGATATCCACACATAAGGAAATAATTTATTTGGCAAACTTTTGTAGATTAAAATAATTTATATTAAAGAAATTATAGGAATCAGGCTCTACATGCCATCCGGCACAATTTATTTCTCAGTCATCGTGTTGCCTTGGCGTCGGCCTTTCTTTCAAATTTTAGCAAGAGCAATTTTACGATTTATCTTTAATTAGGAAATTAACTAATAATTCACCTAGTTTGAGTTATCTAATAAGATTAGAAAGTGACCTTATCGCCGCTGAAGGTGGCCAAATTCTAATCTATTAATACTTCATACATAATACATAATACATACATATGTACATACATAAAATATGAATTAATTCATTGTATGAGGCTTATCTGCTCAATATACAGCTAGAATATAAGCCCACACACATTTGCACATTTTTACATGTATGCACCAAAGTTTAATTGGGGGTTGGTAATTTATTGCAAATAAAAGTCATAAAGCTTGCCAGCCGGAAAGTTAAAAAAAGGAAAATAATTACTTTCAAATAAAAAAAATAATCAAAATCATTGCAAATCTACAAAAATCATTAAAAACAAAAAATAATAGTAGTAATAGATAGTAAGCAGCAGTTGCATTTAAAAATGTGTATAAAAGCCCTACAGAAACTTAGTTGATGCAAAAGCTTCCACACGAGACGTTGAGTGAATTAAAATTAAATAAAATGGATGTAAGTAGCAGCACATCGAAAGATGTAAATTAAAATTAATTTAAAACAAATTCAACATTCTTTTAATTTATTTATTTCTGCAGTTCCACACCGCCTGCGAAAAAGCAAAAGCTTTCACCAAGAAGCCCACCGATGCTGAATTCTTGGAATTCTACGGTCTCTACAAGCAATCCACAGTCGGTGATGTGAACATTGCTGCGCCCAGCGCTATTAACTTGAAGGACAAGGCGAAATGGGATGCATGGAACAAGCACAAGGGTTTGTCCAAGGATGCCGCCCAAGCTGCCTACATTGCCACCTATGAGAAATATGCACCCAAATACGCTTAAACTGTTAAATTTTAGTATTTTAAGAAAAAAACCGACATTTACTTAAAGTTTTTAACTTAAATGGGAAATAAACTATATCGGCATTATGAAAAGACTATTTGTTATTTTTGATTTTTGATGAAAAAATTTATTCAATGGTATTTTGTTACGAACGAAAATACGGTTCTAATGGGATTATCTGATTTCTGATTACATAAGGAGGAGACCCCACATCTTATTACCTCAAAAAAAAACCGTAGAGTCCACGCCTGAAGGATGAGCCATTAACCACCCGGTCTGTGCTGAACCCATGACCAAATTTACATTTACACTTTCCCCTTATGGCCAGTTTCAGATTTGTTCACCAACGACTATAAAATGCATTGAATTAATTTATTTAAAAATATGCGAAACGAATTTAAGGTTTCCCTTTCAATAAAGGCCTCGTAATCTGTGTATATTTATTTCGCAAGAGAATGATCTAAAGGTATGTCCTTCACGAAAATCAGATCTTTTTATTAAGAACTGTTTTTCCTGATGATTTAATAGGAACCCCTCGACGGAAATTTGATAACAACCATCTTCGATGAATCATCAAGAGAGATATATTCGAAATTTAGGAACATTTACACTACTCAAAGCAGAACGATCACTAAGAAGTTAAAGTCCATTTCCTTATGGTCATCATTTTGTAATTTCTGCATCTGCGCAGTCAAAACGGGACATGAAAAAGTGTCCATATGTTAATATGAAGTTATTATTCTCGAATTCAGATGGTAGAAAGAAACCTCTACAAAATATGATACCAAGAAAATTGTGCAATTAAATTTCTAAACTTATATATTTTATTTTAATTTATATATAATTTTCTAATTATAATATGTATATATTAATCAACTCATTTTACTTTAGTTTATTTAGATTTTTTTATTTTATTTTATTTCACTTTATTTTGCTATATTTATTTTAATTTTGTTCGCTTTTTATATAATTTCATTATATTATTTTACTTTATTTAATTTAATTTAATTTTATTCTGTTTAACTTTATTTTAATCTCCTTTGTTTAATTTTTTATTATTTTAATTTATTAATTTTACCTTAACTCAATTTTATTATATTTTAAATTTATTTGTCTTATCTTAATTTGTTTTTTATTTAATTTTATTTAATTTAATTCAACTTAATTTCCTTTTATTTAATTTATTTATTTTATTTCATTGTATTTTATTTTTTTTTTTTGTATTTTATTTTATTTAATTTTTTTTTATTTATTTTATTTTATTAAATTTTATTTATTTTAATTTTATTTCATTTTATTTATTTTATTTTTTTTCGGTTTGCTTCAATTTATTAAATTTTTTTGTATTTTATTTTATTTCATTTTACTTATTTTGTCTTATTTTATTTTAAATTATTTTATTTCATCTTAAATTTTTAACATATTTTACTTCGTTGTATTTTATTTTATTTTATTTTGTTTAGTTTGAATTAATTTTAATTTATATCATTTAATTTTTTTTATATTATTTTATTTTATTTTATTTTATTTTATTTTTATAAATGTTATTATATTTTAAGTTATTTTAACTTACTTTATATTGTTTTATTTTATTTTATTTCATTTTATTTTGTATTTTTGTTTTAAATTTCTATATTTTGTCTTATTTTATTTATTTTATTTTATTACATTTTTTTATTTAATTTTTACTTTTATTTTATTTTTTTCTATTTTATTTTAAATAATTTTATTTTATTTCATTAATTTTATTTGTTTTGTTTGAAATTTGTTTTATTTAATATTTTTTTTTGTTATTTTTTTATTTTATATTATATAATTTCATTTTAATATATTTTATTTTATAGTGTTTTATTGTATTATATTTATTACTCTTCTATTGTTTGTAGTTTAATTTAATTTTGTTTTATATTGAATTTTTTAATATTTTTTATTTATTTATTTTTAATTTCAATTAATTATTACTTTATTTCATTATTTAAGCTCTAAGAAAATAATCAAATTATTTAATAATTTTTACTCCAATAAATTTATTTCCTATCAGGCTGGTATTAAAATTTATATTATTATTATTATTGATAACCTGATAACTACATACATTTGAATTTATGTACTTTATTATTTAATCGGAATTTCCATTCAGCAAAAAGATTTCAATAGCTAATCCGTTACACAATATTTCAAAGTATAAATCATATTAAAATAATATACAACTCTAACTTCATTGCACTGATATATGTATATATGTATATGTCAAAGTGATAAGATTTAATTATATTACTCCCGGTTAAAGCACACACACATGCATGCTTACAAGGGTGGTCAGCGCGTATAAAAAGCTTTGGCACAAATTTTCAGTTTGTCAGTTAAGCAACCAAATCACAGCCCTAACAGTCAATAATGGATGTAAGTTGAGCAGAAAGCGCGAAAGAGCCGTGATAGTGCTGAACGACTTTAATATGACTACGAAAAATGTTTAATTTATTTTTAATAATCAATATATACTTTTTTAATAATTTATGTTTAAATTAATTTTTTCTTAATAATTCAAATCTTTTTAATATATAATTTCATTCCTCACAGTTCCACACCGCCTGCGAAAAAGCCAAAGCTTTCACCAAGAAGCCCACCGATGCTGAATTCTTGGAATTCTACGGTCTCTACAAGCAATCCACAGTCGGTGATGTGAACATTGCTGCACCCAGCGCTATTAACTTGAAGGACAAGGCGAAATGGGATGCATGGAACAAGCACAAGGGTTTGTCCAAGGATGCCGCCCAAGCTGCCTACATTGCCACCTATGAGAAATATGCACCCAAATACGCTTAAGTGAAAAATTAGTAATGTTTTTTATGTATTTATTTGTTGTCGGCGCGATTGAACCTTTTAAGGAAATATGAGTACATATAATATATGTATAAATTAAAAATAAATTTTTTAAACTAAAAGGCGAAAAATTGTTTAGTGGAATTTTTTTACTTAAATCATTTGATAAGTCTCATTTAGTTTATTCTCTTCTAACTGCATATAAAGCTGCGAATTACCGTAAATTTTCAGTGCACGCAGTGTTTTATAGAAAGCCCCAGCTACCCATTTATGGACCACAAAAGAGAAACTATGCACCATGAACCTAAAAGAACCCTAAGGTAGGGTTGTATTTTCATTTTAAACTGTGAGACATAAGAGCGAAATTTTATAGAAGCGCAACACTACATGAAAAGCTCAATTAAGTGATTGATTGAGTGCAATACGTGCAACGGAGAGAGCAATTCTGAGCTCAGTTATAATTGATAATAAACTCTCTGCAAAGTCACAACTATGTCAAACAAGCAAAAAAAGAACATATAACAATTTCCAATTATCGAACTCTGATCTAACTCATTAAATTTGCTTCATCGTTTCATATATGAAAAAGGTAATTTATTTTATTGCATGCCATTGTGGGCCGGTCCGTATACCCTTATAAATGTTTGTACATAAAAGAAACTTATCTTTTTCATATACTTTTTTTACACTACATTACTTTAATATTAATGAAAACCAATAATTGAATATGGCAAGCCCGACGACAGTGCATACTCGATAAGAAATTCGCTGTTGAAGAACTTTGTATTAACGTAATAAAATAATAAAAAATATAAAAAACAAAAAAAATACAAATTGGACATTCATTACTCATTACTCCATATGAGCCCGAAAAATTGTCTATAAAAACTAACTAAATTTGAAAAAGCAATACTCATTAGTTGCTTAGAAGTGCTACCAAAAGGTTAGTTTTGAGATTTTTCTACAAAACTTTTTTTTTTGCATTTTGCTAATTCCTATTAATATTTTTTAATATTTTTATTAATAAAAAATCTTTTAATTCTCCTCCTTACAAATTCACCTCATCTACATCACAGAATCTAACTTGCGTCATGGATGTAAGTAGTTTTTCAACCAAAATATTTATTATATTTTAAATTTATTTTAATTTATATTTCCTTCCCTTCAGTTCAACACTGCCTGTGAGAAAGCCAAAACTTTCAGCAAACGGCCCACCGATGAAGAATTCTTGGAATTCTACGGTCTTTTCAAACAGTCCACAGTTGGTGATGTGAATGTTGAAAGGCCGGGCGCATTGGACTTGAAGGGCAAAGCCAAATGGGATGCATGGAACAAGCACAAGGGTTTGTCTAAGGAGGAAGCACAAAAGGCCTACATTGCCACCTATGAGAAATATGCACCGAAATATGCCTAAATTGAAAAACTGCATGAGTGAATTTTGATTTTGTTAAAAAAAAAATTATAAAAATATAATAATGGCCAAAAAAGAAAATTAAACTGAGATATAAAAAACCAATACGAGCAACTTTAATGTAGTTTAAGAGATGTGACAAAGGAAATTCCCACTTTTTGAGTTTAAAATAATTGCAAAAATATTTAATTTTTATATAAAATTTAAAAAAAAATATATATTAAAATAATAATAAAAATACAAATAAACTATGAAAAGTGAAATAAAAAATATAAAAAATACGATAATGTAATTTAAAATAAAATAAAACAAAACAGCAGAAGATAAAATGAAATAAAAAATCGATTGAAATTAAATTAAGATGAATTGATATAAATTAATATAATGTGAATTTAATCAAAAGGGAATGAAACCATTAAAAAATAAAATAATGCAAAACAAAATAAAATAAATGAAAATGAAACAAAAAAATAAATAAAACAAAATAAATTAAAGAAAACAAAAAATAATTAAATTAAAAAAAATAATTAAAATGTAATTAAATCCAATTAAGACAAAGTAAAAAAAATAATTAAAATAAACTGAAATAATATAATATAAAATTAAACAAAAGAGAATAAAAAAATAATATTAATAAGATAAAATAAATGAAAATAAAATTAAAATAATTTAAATCAAATTGAGATAAAATAAAATATATTAAATCTAATTAAAATTACACAATATTTAACAAAAGAGAATAGAAAAAAAATTAAAAAAGTATATAAAATAAGATAAAACAAAAGAAAGTAAAATAAATTTAAAAAAAAATCGAATTTAATTGAGATAAAAAAAAATTAAAAATATAACAAAAATATATTAGGATAAAATATGAAATAAAATTAAATTAAGTTGACATATTTAAATTATATAAATTAACTCAATATTAAACAAAAAATAAAATAGGATAAAATAAATGAAAACAAAATTGAATAAACCTAAATTAAAATAAATTAAATAATAAAATGCCAAATAAATCAAAGAAAAAATTTAATTAAATTAATATAAAATAAAATAATTTGAAATATAATGAAATTAAATTAAGGTAAAATAAATTAAATGAAAATAAAATAAAATTATATACAATTAAGCAAAATAAAATATAAATAAAATAAAATAAAAAAATGGAAATGAAATCAAATAATATATAATAATGATATATAGTAAAATAAAATAAATTAATATAACACGAAATTAAATTAAATTAAGCCAAATAATATAAAAAAAATAAAATAAAATTAATAATATTTATTTAAGAAAATTAAACGCAACGAATTAAAATGCAATTCATTAATAAAAAAAATCAGAAAACAAAATAAAACTGTCAACATAGAGGGCATTCAGAAGTTGATAGCAGAAGAATGCTCACCGAGGACTAGTGGCTCCCAGCTGGACTCCATATTGAAACGTAATTTGGCGAAATTACTGAGTTCAGAATGAGGTCGTGAGGCCTTCTGATCCAGCAACTCTACACTCTATGTTCCTTGTTGAGATATTCTATAAGGAGTTGTTATTTTTTTTGTAGGAATAGGAGTGGGAAGCACAAATCCTTAGCACTGGATTGTAATCCGATTGACAAACGTAGACGTTGACGTTGAAAAGCGTCATCCAGTCGATATTAATAACTGAACTCCTGCTTAATTTTGGCACAATTCAGTTCAGGATGTTGAAGCATTTGTTGAAGCCATGTTAAGACACATACAAAAAATTGGAGTAGAAACTCGGCTGGTTGTAGGCACCTAAGCTTTAAGGAAACGATTTATGTGATACAGCTTAAAAGCGCTGAAGAGGTAGAAAAAAGAACCCACACTCTACTATATGCATCTACACACACTATATATATATATATAAATATATATATTTTTTTTTTAATAACAAAGAGTTATTTGAATCCAAAATTATTGCAAATCCACTTACCGGGACATCTCGCCTTTGCTTTTGCTCTTGGCAAGACCCTCTTTGGCTTTGGAAATGAGACCGGACATATCGCCCACAATGCGATTCTGCAATTTCTCCTCATGCGTCGGACTCATCGGCATATTGCTCAGCTTTTGTGTGAGATTTGTCACGGTGTGATCACGTTTAAGCTGCTGCAGCAATTTCTTATCCTCATTGTCAGACTCTACAGTGGAGAATGCCAGAGAGAATTTAGCAAATATATGAATATAAAATATTTTTAAAGTAAATAAAATATGAATAATAAAATGTCTTTAAATAAAAATAAATATAGTAAATGAAATTGTAATTTTTTCCAAAATTTATAAATTAAGACAGATATTTTGGAAGAATAGAACAAAACGCATCAAAAACCAAAAAGGCACAAGAGAGATTTATGGAAAAGGATTCGTGAATGAAACGCACAAGCAGCACCTCAGCACGAGTTAAATGATGAGAGGCGCCATGAACAGTTCGAATATAGTGGAGAAAGACTCAAAGCCCTTCAAGGGACTCACCTGTTATTGCTAATACATCACCCGAATTTAGAGAATCCATTTCAGACGCGACATGCGGCATTGATGGCTGGAAATATTGTTGTAATGCTGGCGGAGGTGGCGGCGGTGGTGGTGGTGGGGGTGCCATCATAAAATAGGGACCCAATAAATCTGGTGGTGGCGGCGGTGGCGGAGGTGGTGGTGGCGCAGCTCTTTCATTGAACCTCATGGAGTTGATTGGTGATAACGGTGTTTCCGGCGTATAACCACTGGAGAGGGGTGTTTGTGGTGTTGTTGGTGTGGAAAGGGTTGATATTGTCCTGCCACTAGGGGTAGATGGTGTATTTGAAGCTGCGTGACTGGGCGTACTGGGCTCAACATATTGATACTCCAGCGTCGGTGACGCTTCAGACAAAGCATGTGTTGGACTTGTTAGGGGCGTGGCTGTATGACGCAAGTTGTATTCGTAAGTATTTGGTGGTGCCCTTGGTGTGGCCTGTGTGAAATCAAAGCCGTTGAGGGACTTTTTAGGACTCAAGACTGCGGCCAAGACATTGTGGGCGGATTGTATGGTTGGACTTTGTATGGAGTTTTGGTGTTGTAATGGTGCTGTAATTGTTTGCAGCTGTTGTTGTTGCAGCTGTTGCTGTTGCTGTTGCTGCTGCTGGTTTTGGTTCTTTGGTGAGCTCAACTGATTGTAGTAATTATTCAAGCGATTTGCGTCATTTTCAAATTTCTTATGTGAAATGCTGTTGCTATTATTGTTGTTGTTGTGGTTGTTGTCCAATTGATCGCCACCGCGTTGTATATTCTTCATAATACCGTTAATCACCGTGGCATTACGCTCCATTAGTAAATTCTTTTTCGTCAAAAATTCAGGCGCTGTTTGTAATTTATTGTTGTTATTGTTGTTGTTGTTGTTGTTGTTGTTATGTAATGGATTTGTTGTAATATTGTTGTTGATAATCGAAATAGTGTTGCTGCTTAGCAAATGTCTGGTGGGGCTCAACAAATTGCCGCCGTTATTGGCATTGTTGTTGTTAATGCTGCACAGATTGTTGTTGTTACTGCTGCTATTGTTACTAACATTGCCACTAGAGTTCGTATTTGCGTTGATGAGATTTATGTTGTTAGTAGCATTGGCTGTGATATTGCTGCTAGCCTGATTTGTGATGTTATGAATGCTGTTGTTGTTGTTATGAATTTTATTCGGACTTATGCTAATGCTGTTGGCTTCATTGGTTAAATTTAATGATTCCGGTGGGCTATCGCCCATCTTCACCGTTGCTGGTATGGCGGTGACAATTTGGCCTGATTCATTGGATGGTTTCACAGGTGAGCAATGAATGATTTTGTAAATGGAAATGAGGGAAGCGCATGGGCGTGATCGTTTTTAGTTCATTTTTTTTGGGTTTTGCAATATTTTTGTATATATTTTACAATTTCAATGTAGGCAGCGCAGTTTATGTATATTTGCACAGCGTACCAATATTTATGGCGCAACATATATGTAAATATTTTTATTTTTTTATTGTTGTTAATCGAGACAGGCGCACGTTTAGAATGTTAAAAAAAATAAAAAGTTTTTATGTCAGTAAAAAATTATTATACATAAAGAAAAAATATTGTTAGTTTTTAGTAAAAAATGTTGGCCCGCCACACTCGACTGAAGAGATTCAGACGCAAAGCATAGGTCAAAAAAATCTATGGACTCTGGAAAAATTAACGAGTCTCGCATATTTTTTTCACAAATATTTTTTTTTTTTTGTTTGCAGTCAATGCTTTTGTTTACTCACCAATTTCCTCACGTCGCTCCAAGGCCGCATATATGCCATTCGCTACAGCTTCCTGCTGCTCCTTGAGAAAGCTTTTATGCCTCTCAGCGCGTTCACGACGTCTGCGCAAGCCTGGTGTGACGCCAACGCCATCGCGTGCTGTTAAACATATGCAAAAATAAAAAACCATAATAAATATTGATGTTAAGTGAACCGAAAGGTGTTATATTTATATTTAATAAATTTAATTTTAAAATTTTTGAAATAAAGAGTTGGCAACTGTTATAACTGTTATATTTATAATTAATAAATTTTATTTTGAAAATATTCAAATAAATAGTTGGCAACTCTATTCGAATTTTTTTTATATATATTCCTATAATTTTTACTAAAATTTCTAATTAATTTGTATACTAAAATAGGGCTGCCTGAGTAACAAACTTTTTTCTTTATTTTAAAATCTGGCCGTCATTTCATTTAGATATAGTATTTAATGCTTTATTTATTGACAAGCATATTTTACCAATACTATTAACTTAAAAATAAAAAAATTTACACAAACTCACGAATGATTTAAAAAAATTTAAATTAAATGGCATCCCTGTTAACTGCATACACAATTAACGACTGTTTTTAAGTATTGACTAAATATTAAAATTTATTATATTTAACTTTTAAAATTATTTGTTTTAAAATTGTATTGGAGTTAAGTGGCAATCTTTCTTAAAAATATTTCCGAGTCAATGTACGCATCAGCAGATTTTTTTGATACCCACATAGTAAATTAATTCACAAAATTTTTAAATAGGGGGCAACCCTTCCTACATAGAAATACACCTGAATAAGAGCTCTCATAAGCACATATTATTTGATACCCATATTACAAAAATGGCAGTTAAAATATGAAATAGTTGGCAACCCTATCTACATATATATGTTTCTAGTTAAAACAACATATTTTTACACTAAAGTCTTCACAATGAACTTTTTTCGTTTTTAACTTGACCATTTTTTAATTGGAAAAATAGTGGCAGCCCTATTATCATATATGTCTGAATTAAATCCTCACATTCATGTTTTTCTTATACGTATATACAAATATATGTGCATATATATATATATTATGTTATAATTCTTTGAAGTTTTGGAAGAGATGGCAACCCTACTAAATTTTATTTATTTCTAGATACACGTAAGCACTCAAAAATACTGTTTATTTGATATCCATATCTCAAAATAGTATTTTAAATTTGTTCAAAAGGTGGCAACACCACGCACACACACTTCCAGGTGAAAGTCCTCATAAATACCATTCATTTGATACCCATATCGTAATATTATACATTATAATTTAATAAACTTTGTAATAGGTGGTAACTCTACCCTATACCCACTCACTAGACTCACAAAAGATCGGTTTAACGTTTAACCATCGTTAATATATTGTCTCTCCCTAACGCCCATACTCACATTTCTCACCATTGAATACACCATTCGCCGCATATTCTGCCGAATTCGTTGAACCCGAGCTATCCTCATCCAACACGCCATGCGTCGGTGTCATTCTCTTTGGTGATTGTATCACTTTGCTCACATGCGGACTGGTGCCGGTGCTGTGGCGACGCGATTTACGTCGTTCCGCTGTGTCGGTGCTTTGGCGATGACGTTGCGTTTTGCGCAGCGAATTCTCCGGCAAGCGTATGCCTTCCGCTTCGCCATCCTCGAATCTGGCAAATAAGAAATTACGAAACAAAAAAAAAAATTAATAATTATAATTTTCTAAATGCCACCACCAAACTCACTTCAATACTGCTTCGTAAAGCTGCAATTGATCTAGTAAATCCAGATCTGTGCCCGGTTTGGACATATAACGCTGTATAACCGATTCCATGCCTTGCTGTTCCAGCAAATCACTCTCATCATAAAAACTATCCTGATCATTAAGACCGGCTAAGGTTTTGTTGATCAGCGATGTGGCATAGATGACTAGTTCGGCATCGGCGTTGTCATAGTCTTTTAGAAGTCTGTAAGTGTAGAAGAAAAAGTTTTCAAATAATAATTGATATATTGAAAATTGAAATTGCTTTAAAATTTTAGGTTATGAATTATTCTGATGAAATTATATAATAATTTTAAGCAGTAAATATTAACTATTCACAAGAAATTCCTGATGTGGAGATAGCTCAATCCAGAACAAATGAAAAGAAATTCCGAATATGCCAACTCTTACTTATTGAGCGCCTAAAGGTATGCAACGATCGTGCAGTTACGTCAAACGTTTGTCAGATCACTTAGTGTGGTGAACTACCAATTACTTGTACATTTTTAACAGCTATGCTGTTGTTTGGAGGGGGAAAAGTTGTGTTGAATTTGTGTTTGTAGTTAAGCAGAGAAAAGTAACAGTTGTTCAGTCAAAAGCGCTGTTAAAACCAGAGAATGTTAAAATGATCTGCTAAAACGCATTAAAATTGTTATTAGTGATTTTTTCTACTAAAATATCTAATTCTATACTTCTTTTGGGTAAAAAAATTCAGTATAAAATTTAAAAATCAAGTTTTGTACAGAAATATGTAAGTAAAAAAAATTATTTAAAAAACAAAAATTAATAGCATATTTTTGACGAAATTTTGATATTTTTGTATCAAATTTTTTTTATATTTTTTTATTAAAAAATTTCATATTAAAAACGAACAAAAAATGTGATCTGAATTAAAAATCTAATTTAAAAATTTTAGCAAAAGTTATATGGAAACTTTAAGTAGTTCCAGCAGGCTTTGAAATTTTATTAAATCGATTTTTCAATACTTTTGTAGTGTTCTTCAAATAAATTTGTAGACTTTGTGCCAATTCTTTATTTTCAGTGGAGACAAATTTTTTTGTAAATTTAAAGGAAATTTATTTTGTATTTTTTTCAACTAAATCTATTTTTCTATTGAAAAATATATTGTCTGCTATGTTAAGAGTAAAACGTTTATAATATATAATAATTAAAAAAAATATATAATACAATAAATACTTTTGTTTTATTTGCAACTTTAAACTAAAAAATTAATCAATTAAATTGGGCTAAAAGTGAAAAAAAAAAAACAGATAACAAATTTATTTCAAAGAATAATAAAACCAAATAATTATGAACATCGCAACCCTAACTGGAATGAGCTGTTTTAATGATTTTGATGCTTATTTATATTTTTTTCTTTTCTATTAAGGTTAAGCCATATTTTTATGGCATTAAAATTATATAAAAATTACAGTCAAAAATGGTGAAAAAAATCTTCAAATTGTTAACAATCAATTTTCAAATTTAATTATTTAGTAAAAAAAAAAATAATATTTCACAAACAAGACAATTCAGACTTTAATACATATTCTTATACGAATAAAAAAATGTAGAAAATGAAAGAAATAACTGAAAATTGTATTGAAAAATCAGTTGAAATCATCGGTTTTGATAGTCTCGTCAGTGTATGAAATTCCGTTGTTTAATTTTCAAGGTATCCTAAATTTGAGTCTAAATAATTTTAAATTTTGATTAAACCAGACTTTCATTGAAACAAATTAAAAAAAAGAACTATGAAAATACTAAAATATTACGAAAAATCATCATAAAGCCCGTTTTTAATAAAAGTGCCGACAGATAAATAAAATAAAATTTTTCCCCAGTGCAATTGAAATATTCAAATCATGTTTTTATTGGAAGAATAGTCTTAGAGGAGTTTAATTTTAAAATCTTAAATAATCATGAAGTCGGTGGAATAAATATTTGAATGTTTTTTTTTTGCTTTAATTTTTTATATTTTACTGAATATAGAAAATACAGCTGTGAGAGTTTTTTATTAAAAAAAAAAAAATTATGAAAAAAAAAAATTAAATAAAAAAATTTACGTCGAATATATTAAAACCCTTATATTTTTCATAAAAAATTAATTATTAATGCTTAAGTAGACTAGCTAATTAAGTTTTTCGCAAACTTTTTATAATTTTTTTTTACAAAATTTAATTTAAAAGTTTAGAGTTAGCGTTTTTTTTTAAATTTAGCATTTTTATTTATTTTTTATATTTTTTTTATTAATTTTTTAATTTATTATTTTTCTCTCTTCCTCTTTTTATAAATATTTACCTCATATATTTTATAGCATAAAAATTCTTATGTTATAAAACTATAAAAAGTTAACTATAATATTAAATATTTTAAATATCGCAAGAAGTCCACTAAACATAGCTCAGGTCATCAATGTTAGCAGGCTAAAAATTAATATTTTTTGCATTTGTTTAATTTTAAAAAATGTTTAAATTCATTATTTATTTATAAGTATATTCTAAATTTTATTTAGTTTAAAAGAGTTATAGTGAAAATATAAAAGAAATTTGCATTGAAAATTTTATAAATATAGTAAAAAAAATATTATATATATACTCCAAAGTTATTTTTGAAATCTTTTTTAAAATTTTTATTTAGAAAAAAAAAGTTTTCGTTCAAATAAAGCAATAAAAAAGTAAAAACAATTCTTAAAATCAGTTATGAGCGCAAAGTAGGCAGATTAGACACTATTACTTTTTTAATTTAAATTTTTTTTGTTTTAAATTTTTTTTATAAATTTTTTCAAATTTTCGTTACATCTTTTTAGACAAACAAAGTATTTCCTCAAAAATTAATTAAAAAAAATTAACGCTAAACTTATTTTATGGTATATTTAATTCATCTATATGAATTTTAATTAATAATTTCATGATTAAATATGTATATATTAAAAACTGAAATTTATAAATAATTACATATACAATATATTATATAACGATTATATGTATGTATTACACATAAACTATTTAATTACCTCATTAGATTCGACCACGGCAATGTGCCTTGTGATTTATCAACCGCATGTATGGCATTTACCAGGACATAACAATTCGTTTCGGCGTATTCTACAAATACCAACAACAATTTCAGTGCTGTTTTCACCACAGAACGATAATTCGATGCGATCAGAGAGTAGAGCCATTGCATTGTCGGCTCATGTTTCATTACGCCATTCATGCCATCCACATAGAGCATCACCTGTTGTTTCGTTATGCGAGAAAATAACCGCATAAAAATTTAAATTATATAAATAAGTAAGTATGTAGGTAAGAGTAAAATATGAGAAAAATGAAATGGTGGAAAAAGAAAAGAAAAAATGCGACGCATAAATGCGGTTAATTGGCAATGTCAAGTCAAATAAAATGTTGCATTTAATGCTGGGCAAACAAGTTCAACGCAACAAAATGAATGAAATATAAGGAATTCAGAAGGAAATATGCAGCAAAAAAAAAAAAGAGAAATATACAAGTGAATGTTTATTTGTTTAGTTTTATTTTTTTATTTATTAATTTTTTTTTTTTGCTTATTAATTTTTTTTTATTCAACATACCTGTCCCAAGGCACGCAAAATGTAATTTTGATAATTCTGATCGGCACCATTACCAACACGCACCAGACAATTGAGTCCACCCAATGCCACGAACGCGTGCACCAAGTCTTTATCCTCTTGAAAGACCTGCTTCAATGAAAATAGTGCACGCCGCAATTCGCTGCCCTCGGAGGAGAGGAGTTTCTCTGTAAGAGTGATGGAGAGTAAGCTCAGTAAAAAGTTGAGAATGAATAGCAATATAATGTGGCTCGAAAGAAGGTATTGTTTATATGTATGTATATAAGATTGAAATTGAATTTCAAAAATTACTAAGTAAATAAAACAATAATTTCAGAACAATTTCTAATGTAAATTAAGAGTTACGCATATATAATTAAAAAATTATGCATTAAAAATAAAATAATAAATATATTTTCAATTTTTTTATGTTATTTTTGTCAATAAAAAAATATATATAACAAAAAAAATACAGCAACATTCTCAGCATACTATAAGGCAACATAATTTTTGCACAATTATTCTATACCGTTATCTAATACCAAATTGTAGACTTTTAACTTAGCAGCTTCTTTCGTGCTGAGTTTATTTATTAGACAAAATTACACTTTTTTATTTCAAATCTTCATCAAAATTTTATATTTTTTACCGTTTCGCCGGAAATTCACTCACTTCACACATTCTTATGCACGGCACGTTACTCTTTTATTATTGAGATTATCGCATTTTTGTGTATAAATATTTAGCTATTTGTATGCGTGTATGTACGCAAAAGTACACTAACGGTCAAAAATGAAGTTAAACATATTTTTAAAATATGGCAAACATTTATTGTTATTGACGAATGTTTTTTATTCAATAAAAATGACGTTTAAAACAAAAATAGCATAAATCAAAATTTCAAAATTTTTCATTTTTAAAATATGGCAAACGTTTATTGTTATTGACGAATGTTTTTTATTCAATAAAAATGACGTTTACAACAAAAATAGCATAAATCAAAATTTCTAAATATTTTCATTTTTAAAATATGGCAAACATTTATTGTTATTGACGAATGTTTTGTATTCAATAAAAATGACGTTTAAAACAAAAATAGCATAAATCAAAATTTCTAAATAATTTCATTTTTAAAATATGGCAAACATTTATTGTTATTGACGAATGTTTTTTATTCAATAAAAATGACGTTTACAACAAAAATAGCATAAATCAAAAATTCTAAATATTTTCATTTTTAAAATATGGCAAACATTTATTGTTATTGACGAATGTTTTGTATTCAATAAAAATGACGTTTACAACAAAAATCGCATAAATCAAAATTTCTAAAAACTTTTATATAAACAAAAAAAGAAAAAAAGAAAAACATGCCGACTCTATTTTAATTTTTTTTCTCTTGAAATTTAATTTCAGTGTGATGGTTCATAAAAATATCCAAATTTTATGACATTCAATGTTTTTTTTTTTTTTTTTTGGTATTTTATTTCTATTAAGACTCTCGCGATTAGTCAAAATTTAAATTAAAAATGAAAAGATTTCGGCAGCGATAGCCGAGTAGTTAGCTTTGCATACCGCCACTCGGAAGACCAGAGTTAAAATCTTGGTTCGATCAAATATTGTATAAAATTAATTTAAATAAAAAATTAAGCTAATTTTTCCAACTGCGGTTGCCCCTCTGCTGGGAATGTCAATGCCTCTGAGTGTATTTCTGACACGAAAATCAAAGCTCCTCATAAAAACCTATCTGCCATTCAGAGGCAGCTTAAATTGTATACCCCACCATTTGTTGGAAAGCGAAGAAGAATGAGCTCTGTCGAAAATCGCTTCAGCGGTTCCATTTACTCAAGTTATTTTTGATTTATTTAGTTTTTAATTTCTTATTATTACTTAGGGGGCGGTTGAGGGTCCTTCAAGTATGGAAGAGAATCTAGAGAGTTTTGAGAAAGAGAGTACTGAATAGCGCAGGCTCCATGGCAAGGCAAGCTTTGAATTTGGAGGCAACAGAAATTGTTTGCTATGTTTTTGGTCAGAACCATATTTAAATTAAAAAAAATTTAATTATCAAATTTTTGTGGAAAATTAAAAAAAAAACACTATTCACTCAATTATGATCGCTAGTGTAGACAGAGTCTTATGTATATGTACATATATAACAATGTGTTCCTATTGCTTTTTATGGCCACCGAAACAAATCAAGGCCAAAATGAAGTGTGTTGATGACAAATTTACTCATTGTGTGGCAAGAAGGCGTCATACTCGTACATAGATGATGACTATTAACTGCAGAGAAACAATGCAAAAACACATGTTTAACTGTATATATTTGTTGTACATTTAGGTGTTAATGGATGCAAGCATACATATGTACATATACAAGTATAACGATTGCATGTATGTTTGTCAATTAATATGACTAAACGGTTAGCGGTATGAATGGGTTTTGTGAATGTAAATTGAATACAGCTGACAGTCGGTCAGCTGAGTGTCCATATGTATGTATGTGTCTAGCTGTGTGGTGCTCATTGATGGTCATGTCTGTCGTGTATTACGTGTACACGTGAATAGCGTAAAGTGGTAATTGTTTTGCATTGATGGCGAAAAAAATATAAATAAAAAATAGAAAATAAAATAAAAAAAACCATTTAAAAAACGAGTGTGGGAATTTCAATGTGCGCTGCTGCTGCTGTTTGACAGATCGATTGCCTTATTATCGCTGTCTGTGGCACATTAATGTGGTCTTAAGCACACGTACATACCTATTTATATATAAACAAGCAAAGATTTGTATGCATATATGTATCTATGTTTGCTTTACTTACCAATAATGGCATGCACCCGCACGCTCAGCTGTGTTCGTACTACCAATGAGTTTTTGCGACTGCATAAAGAGAAGAATACAAAACAAGTCGTTAATTAAAGTTATAAGTAAATTAAAAAAATAAAAAAAAAATATATTACAAAAAGCGGCAAATCAACTCATCAGAGTTTTAGGCGTGAATTCGCAGCAAATTTATTATTACAAACCACACACACTCGAGTATAACAAATTTACAGGTGTGTCTATTTCAAACAATAAAAAGAAAATTGAAAAAATAGAAGAAAAGATAATAACAAAAAAAAAAATAATAATAACTGGCATCTAACCAGCTTTACGGTAACAAATCAGCCAACATTATACTCAGCAGTTAATTGGCAAACGCTCGCTGGCAATAAGCCGTTTCTTAATTTCCCCCTTCCCAATTATCCCCTTCCTACATTGAATTTGGTTCAATGACCATTTAAGAACATCGATTGCTGAATAATAATAATTCTTCTTGGCTGTTGTGCAGCGATAGATAAATACAATATGCTCAGCTGGTGGCTTGTGAGAGAATTCAAGTAGAGGAAATTACAATAATAAAAGTAAACGTAAGTAGCAGGTAATGGAGGAAGAAAATCAGTTAAATAAACACATGTGTTGGACTTATCAGCTTTTATTGTTTATTACCCACAGGCGCCCATAATTTGTGTGCTTACAATATCTAAGTAAGCTGAGCCCAGAATGGGTAAATTAAAAAATTCAATACAAACATAATAAAAATAAACAAAATAAAATAAATTAAAAATGTTAAATTAATTAATGAGAAAATATAAAGTTGTATTTAATTAAATTAAATTAAACAAATGCTAAATAAATAGTTGGTAATAAAAATGACAAAATTTAAAAAAAATACAAAGACCAAATTAAAACTAAATAAATAATATTTTATTAAATTTAATTAATAAAAAAATAAAAAATTATGAGATTTTTAAATACAAATAAACAAAATAAGTTTAAATAAAAAAACTTAATATATTGCTTAAATTAAATTCATCTAAATTTAACCTAATAGAACAAAATAAATTTGCAACTAATAATATGAAATAAAAAAATAAAGAAAATAAAAACAAAAAAACTCAAAGTATGTAAATAATAATAATAAATTAAAATAAAGATACAAGAAATTAAAATTAAACAAATTTATATTAAATTAAATTAAACTAAATTAAATACCATCTAAATAATTATACAAAAACAAAATAAACCAAAACAAATTAGAATAATATATCATAAACAAAAAAAAAATAAAATAAAACTAAAATAAATATTTTTAAATAACAAAAATTAAAAAAAATAAATAAAGTAAAGATATTTAATACTTAATTTAAGATAAAAAAAATATAATTCTGAATGAATCTAAAATACTTATTGAAAATATTATTTAAATAAATAACACTATAAATAAAACAAAGTAAATAAAATAAATTAAAATAAAATAAAATAAAATAAAATAAAATAAAATAAAATAAAATAAAATAAAATAAAATAAAATAAAATAAAATAAAATAAAATAAACTAAAATAAAATAAAGTAAAATCAAATAAAATAAAATTAAAATTAAAATATTAATAAATTAAAATAAATAATAATAAAAAATTGAAATAAAATATAATAAAACAAAATGAAATATCAAAAATTAAATAAGAAAACTAAACTAAAATAAGGAAGTAAAATAAAATTAAAAAAATAAAAAAAAAAATAAAGGAGTGAAATAAAATAAAAAAAAAAAAAATTAAGCGAAGTTTAAGTAAATAAAATAATTAAATCAAAATTCCTTTAATAAAATAATTTAATGAAATAAAGTAAAATAAATTAATAAAATACAAGAAAATAAAATAATTAAAAGAAATTGATACAAAAATAAGAATAACTTAGAGAAAATAATAGAAACTCCAGCAAAATGATATTAAGCAATATTAAATTAAATTAAAATATTTTAAATAATATTATATTTAAAAAATTATATACCATAAAATGAAATGAAAAAAATAAAATAAATTTTTCTAGACTAGCTGATTATAAAACAAATAAAAAAACTATATATTGAACAGCTTTCCCAAGCCAATGAGTATGACATGGAAAAGTCCCGCTTTCAGAAAAGCTCTTTGCGCGCAGAAAAGACTTTTAAAAAATTCTACAATATTTATAAAGCCCAATGAAAGCTCCAATAGTTCGAAATGTAGAAACAGCTCAAAGAATTGCTCCTATTTACCAATTATAAGACATTTTTTCGAGAACCTACATTACTTTTTTCAGGCGAAATTCTCATATTGCTTTACCTTTATTCATACGAATTTAAGTCTCACGGAAAAACAAATAACGTCAAATTCTCAAGAGTTTTAGAATAATTAAAACGAAATACAAATTACATACATAATTACTTCTTCTCGGCACAGCAAAAACCACCTATTGAAGATCACAGCATTGGATTTAAACAGGCAACCACATTGATTGCCACATAATTACCTTCTCACTAAAGCCCTTCCAAACCCATCAAATCCCAGCTTGCAGCTGTCCCTTTGTGGGTTGTGTGACCACCAGTATCATTGGCTAAAGAATGCAAATTGCGATTGGCGCTCAAAAGCATTTAACATTGAAATTATTCTATGCCAATCTTAGTTACTGCATGCATACCTACATACCCATGGTAACATACATACTTACACAGGTAATTACCACATACCACAGCGACAACATTTAGATGTCACCGCCATGCAAATTGCAAAATAAAATGCATTAAAGTAACTTGCAGAAGGCATTCCATCCAACTGGTTTGGAATTTGTTGGGAAAAAGTGTGTGTGTGTGTGTGTGTGTGAGTTGCATGCAACATTTCTTGCTCTATTAAATGGTGGAGTTAATATGGGAGGGGAATGCCATTGGAATTATTTGCTGTATCAACCGGAAATACAGCCCCCCAGCGGGTATTTATGAAATATTTTTATTAGAAACTCTCTCTGAAAAATTAAATTACATATATAAATATATATTTATATTTTTTTTTTAATAGGCGTTTTGCCATGAACATTTTCAAAATTCTGCCGATAAAAAAGTCAAAGTAGAAATGAAAAATTTTTTTATGAACGACTAATTTCCACCGAAGTTTCAAAAAGCCAGATTTTGTACTTAAGGCACAATAGCCGAGCATTTTCGAGGTCATATATGAGATTCATGCTTCGGATCTTGCTGTAGAGAAATAATTGTATTTTTTTATTTATTTATTATTTAAGTAGGAAGTCAACATAACGTAACTGGTATTTAACTAGTATAAAACTGTAGTATTGACAGTTTGCAGGACACCAACGTGTAAAAAATTCCACTAGTCAGTAAGAAAAAATTAAGGAGGATAAACTGATTCGTGTAAAAATGCAAATGCCAGTTCCCTGCAAGGAAGTTACGAACTTTCTGTGTCACATAGCGTCACCTAGCATCTTAGGCTTTGATGTCCAGACGTTGCTAATTACACCTGCACATATAAAAACATGCTAAAAATACCGCCCCCTTTAAGAGTGGAGAGTGGAACATGCCCAAGAGAAAAATTGTTTTTTCACTTTCGGGTAAACCCTTTTGGTACATAAAACTTAAGGGACCAATACTCATTTCTGTGGCAGACCGTTTGGAAAGTCTCGATTTTAGTCAGAAGATAGAGTTTGTCAGTCTGGCTACACTTCTAATTATTTTTCACCTTCCGTTTCGGATTCGTCGACAGATACACTGGCCACCTAGAAAGCTCTTAAATCGAGTACTATGAAACCTGAAATCCTTTCTTCCATGCAGATAACATGACTTAGCCAGCTTATTCGCAGAATCATGACAATGTTATACGACAAGAACAACTCAGCGGCGGTATTCGGCATTGCCAATGCGCAATGGACCATAAATCTTCCACAAAACCCTTTTCTCAGAAACTCCTAGTTCCGGCTCATCGGATTAGCTGATGCAAAAAATTTAGAGACCTTCGGCAAAGAATGGACAGAGGTAGTCTTTGAGAACCAGCTTCTGAAGGATTTGTTTTGATGGATTGTTGATTTGTTTTAAAGGACGAGTTTTGATTGTGGTGGCTACCGATCCGTGGAATCGATTAAAACCCATTTTGATGCCACATAAACGCGATAATTTGTTCTTCTTTATCTTTCGATTCATTAATGCACCTAATTCGTTACCTGACTTTGATGTCGGCTAGCCTCGATGCTGATTGATCCCGGAGTAGAGTGCCGAGATTCCGAAACTTGACACAGCGAAACGCAGAATAGTCGCTTAAGAGACCAAAGGACCGAGGAAGACTACCGGTTCGAGTAGCTCATTTCGGATTCCTTAAAATGGCTTCCGAAGGAAATGAAGACAGTAGTAAGACAAAGAAAACTCACGAGACTGCTGTGCCTCTTAACAATAAATGGTTAAGAGGTCAGTTCCAAATTTCAAGTTTTTGTCTCCATCGACAAAGTAATATATTCCATACTACTTTGCCAATTAATATTATTGTTTTTTTTTTACGTTTTCAACCACTTTCAACAGTTATTAAAAACCGATCGGTTTTCTTGCCACTTTTATTGGCAATAAATTATGAAGTGAAAGGCCAAAGAAGACACAACCGCAAGTGGCGAATTTCGAATGGCCAGCACATGCAACATGCTGCAGACCCTGCCACAGAGGAGGAGAGCGAGGGCGAGAGCAAAGGAGAGAGCACCCACATATCATATACTACAACATGTCTTTGGAAAGGGGGAAACATAAACAGTTTGTTATTGTGGTTTTTGTTTTTATTATAATTTTTTATGCATATGCCCCAGAAACCCAGTGAAACCCAACAATGCACAAACCAACAACACATCAATTGTCAACGTGAAAAAAGGCAACCAGCGCTAACAACGATATCGAGTGGCAGGAACACACAAACGCTCAAGCTCGGACTCGTACACAAGCGGAGGCGGAGGCGAGGTCAGGTCTTTTGTTGACTCGTTTCAAAGACGCTTCTCCTACCTGCAGCAAGCGCCTACACAGCATAACAAGCCCGTTGAAG